GATCACTGTCGTGAGAAAGAATGTATCTACAAGTCCAGAATGTCCGTCCTTATATACCTGCCATCCTGTCCTTGTTGTGTTAGGTGGTGAGCTCATGTTGGATGGCTCACTGGTTAGTTGTTGGTGATCCATGATGTTAGGATCACGGTGTGTTATCCCGTGAGCCATTCCCTGGCTCACTGCGGCGTCCTTGGTGAGCCCGACGACTCACCCTTTATGTCTGAGTGAGCCATCACGTGATTTGCCAGGTGGGCCCGATTCTTATCTTATCGCGCTCCCTGATCGCGGGGTCGTCGATTCGCGGCCGCCCTGCTTCCTTGGTTGTTACAGGATACTACTTCGGCCCTAATAAGATACTCTACGAGCTCGACGGGGTATAGTTTAAAAGTAAACGATATACTACGAGACACCTACAAGATCTAGAATTATAGTGACTATTGAGTTTATAGATCAGTATAATGTACACTATTTTAGAACTATAACCTATATAAACTCTAATAAAGCTATTAGAGAGCTTTAGATTAATCGGAATATAAATTAACGATACCCTAAACCTTAGAGAGCCCGTATTTATAGAAAAGGAGTAAATAGAGCTCTTAAAAGCTAGCTTCTAAGCGAAGCCTATTTCTATCCTAAATATTAATTTAGAGGGCGTCTTTAATAATTATATTATTAAAATCGGAATTAATAATCTTAAAATTCTATAAAAAGGTTAAAATAATCGATTAAAGTAAATAACCTTAAGGATATTAGATTTAGAATAGTAATTTATTACTTAGAGAGCTTATAATATATATATAGCTTTTATTTATTAACCTAAAATAGTTTTCGATTTCGCTATAACTTCTTAAGCTAAGAATTTAAAGAAAGACGATTTTAAATAATTTAATAAATATATATAATAATAGATCGATAATGTAGACTATAGCTTAAATTATATATACTTTAATCTATTAACCGCTTAGCTATCGCGCTCCCTGATCGCGGGGTCGTCGATTCGCGGCCGCCCTGCTTCCTTGGTTGTTACAGCGGGTTGCAAAAAAAAATGAGACGTACTGAATGCTTCACCCCAGCCCCTCTACCTAGAATAACTGCACAACACTACTACGAGACACCTACAAGATCTAGAATTATAGTGACTATTGAGTTTATAGATCAGTATAATGTACACTATTTTAAAGAAAGGCTTTTCGCCTAGACTGAAGCTCTGGAGTCGTTATAGAAATGTATAGCTGAATAGCTGGGTAGTAGGAATGGTTATGGGGGAGGGATCTGGTACGTCTTATTTTTTTTGCAACCCGCTTGTATGGGTGATCCGAAAAAGATAACTGATCCTCGTACAACCGTGTGCCATGCTGTTTGCGGCCAGGGTTTGACTTGACGTTCCACATTTCCTCAGCCAAGCAAAGTTACCCCGCAGTCTAGACCACAGCAAAGACCTGTCAAGCTTCACTAAGATCGTCGTCTACGAACCTAAGACCGTCCATCCAGTACATGCTATTTCGGTGTTAGACCACATGGTGTCTGTTTGGTGTCTTTGGTACGTGGTCCTCTATTGGCATGCTGTCATTCCCCAACTTTGCGGTTGCTGACAGGAATCAGCATATCTCGCAAACCAGAACTGCTTTGCTTTCCATGCCTGCGGGCAAATGTGGCGTGTTCGTGTTCCAGAGGGCCAGAAAGCCTCCCTTGCACATAGCATAGCACCAAGGGGAAGCACCAGTGCCAGTGCTCCCAAAAATTTCATCACCAAGCCATTTTCAAGCCAATGAAGTCTAGGACTTAACGATGCTCACCAGCTGAGTCTGTCCCGCATGATGGAGCGCGGCGCAGGGTCCAATTGTCTCTCGATGGCGGAAGCCATCCCAATCCGAACCCTGGTCGGAGCCGCGTCCAGGGCTGCGCCGTCTCTTTCGCACCAGTCTTTGCTCTCGGACCCTTCCTGTTGATGATCCTCGGGGTGATCATCTGTGGTTTTCATTGGAGGAAGCTAGGCGGCCTGACGTCGCCGGAGGCGCAATCCCAGGTGGAGGCTGCGAGTCAACCTGCATGTGAACGGGGGGACGGATAGCGCCTTGGCTCCAGTCGCCAAAGGAAGTTGACCATGACAATGTCAGAGCACCCCATGTCAGGACGACGGCCAGTATTCACACCAGCTTTGTCAAGCTTTGCTGACAGCCACATGTATGCTCCAATACGTTCTCCGTCGAGAGTACCAATCTGTCCAACGGGCCAAACATTGATGCTGTCACTGATATCTCCTCTCCTCACGAGACATTGCCTTAAACTGGAAGATCAGACACTGAGTGAACCAAGAGCGGCCGTCTTGAGTTTCGTGCGAGAATGACGAACTCTAAGTTGAAATCATCATCACCTCTTTCTCAAACCTCGTCATCCCGTTGAGTGCGCATCTGGTAGGGCGGCGCTACTGAACGTCTTAAGACGCTACCACGCTAGTCCATGCACAACATCAGCAACATGAGACCCGAGATCGCAAAGCTTCAAAGCCACTACCAGCCGTCTGCCAACGACGCCATGCCTAGGATGTGCGTAGGTCCACCCAGAACAACGACCTAATGCTCGTCCACCGAGGCGAGCGGCAGCCAATGCCATGCTGCAAACGACCTGATGGCGTTCCCAGCCGAGCTTGAAGCTCCATCGACAGCTCACCCTGAACGGGCTGCCCGACATGATCTTGAGTAAAGGGGCACAGGCCTGATTCGTGCTACGGGTACCTGTGGTAGGTGATGGCGGGATGAGCGGGAGGTATGTTCCATATAAGCCACGACCGCGTCGTCCCCCTGGTGGTCATAAGAGCCCCTCCGTTTTCACCAGCTCTTCCTCTCATTTGATCAACACCCAGAAACCAGAGATCACAATACCAAGCCGTCATCATGAGCGCCCCAGAGTCTCCCGATCAGCGGCACTTCTTCTCTCACCTCTCGAGTAGGCAGACCTCTGCCGCTCCTGGCTCTCCTACAGCTGCCGTCCCTGCAGGAGCTGCACCAACCCGTACAACCACCAACCGGCTTCCTATTCTGAAGGCACAGTCAGGAGCACGCAACAATGTCACCGCCGTGGTTGGCGAGTTTGTCGGAACTTTCCTCTTCCTCTTCTTCTCATTCGCGGGCACACAGCTCGCCAACACTCCCGCGTCGACGAGCACCGAGCCCAACCACACCGTGCTCATCTTCATTGCTCTTTCCTTTGGTGTATCCCTGACAGCGAACGTTTGGGTCTTCTACCGCATCACAGGCGGCATGTTCAACCCTGTGGTAGGTCTCCTCGTGTGCTTGGCTCGATCCATAATAAAGCGGTATGCTTACACGATGGCCTCTCTCTTAGGTCACTCTTGCTCTCGTCATCTGCGGCGGTCTCCCCATCACCCGCGCCCTGCTCATCATGCCCACTCAGATCCTTGCCGGTATGAGTGCCGCCGGTGTCATCTCCGCCCTTCTGCCCGGGCCTCTGGCCGTTACCAACAGCCTGGGTGGCGGGGCCAGCACAGCCCAAGGCCTCTTCATTGAGATGTTTCTCACAGCCCAGCTGGTCTTCACCATTCTCATGCTGGCCGTTGAGAAGCATCGCTCAACCTTCCTGGCCCCCGTTGGCATCGGTGCCTCCTTCTTCCTGGCCGAGCTAGTCGGTATGTATTCTCAGATGTCTTCTTTTGTCTCCCCTAGCATCTTGAAGGATCAGAATATGAAGTACTAACGCTTTGGCATCAAGGCTGCTACTGGACTGGCGGTGCTCTCAACCCAGCTCGTGCCTTTGGCCCCGCCGTCGCCACCCGCACGTTCCCCAACTACCACTGGATCTACTGGCTGGGTCCCGTCATGGGATCGCTGCTGGCTTCGGGCTTCTACCTTCTGTTGAAGGCTATGCAGTACCAGGAGTGCAACCCCGGCCAGGACGCGAGCGGCGCGGATCTTGAGCGCTACGAGGATCGTCACGCCCAGCACCACACGACCACCGAGGAGCCCAAGGTGTAAGCGTGCGGCCGCGCAGCTTATGATGATATCATGTTTGTAAACTGGGTTATGCTAGACGGGGTGTGATGGCAACACCGTCGCGTTTCGCCATCGTGGGCGAGGTTGGGATCGGATACGCCATGAGGTTGGCGCAGCATGAGACACATGGTATTTGTGTAACAATTCGAGGATTGTGGAGTTTCGGTTTGGATTTGGTAGAAAAATACTATCCCGCATGTATTTCTTTCACGGCACAATTGCCTTCCGTTGATGACGATAATGATGTGGTCATGACGTGAGCGAGCAAAGCTGAGGTATGACATGCGAAACCAGCGGAACTCCACTCACTTCTGTCATCACCAGCACGGCTCAGCCTCCTCATTCACATGGGAGGCAGGTGCCGATGAGCCAGGCGGGCGACGGGGCCCAGGCCATGCACGACAGTGCATGAGCTGTGGTGCATCGTCATGCGACAATCAAGACAAACTCGAAATCCACTCCGTGACGGCATTCGGTTCGAAAATAGTCATGTCGCGCAAATCTTGCCGTCTTCTTGAATGCCCAAGACTCGGTTGTGCAGAGAGGATATTCCCTTTTTGCAGTGAAGGATTGGGGTCGGGGGACGATCTGGGGGCTAGCGGCACCGGCGGCCGTGTGGAGGATGCCGCTGCAGCAGCTGAGGCTGTGATCGTCAGCGTCCAGGTACACGGCATCTATTTTTGAGTCAGGCTGTCCATTGAGCTTGATTTGGTGAAGATGTGCCTCTGGGAGTCGCAACCTGGACCGACATGATGGGTTTCGCGACTCAACAAGCTTTCGTTTGTTGCCGAAGGATCATGGCCGAGATCCAGACAGAACATCTCGACCAGCGTAAAAACCCGAGAGAGCCCAAGTATAAATTGGCACGATCGAACGAGAACATTGCTGCCATAATCGGAAACATCTTCACTTGGCTCTCATTCCAGACTCATCACTTCATTTTCATAAATCACAATTTTCATATCATCAACCTCGATTGCAATTGCCAACATGTATCACAAAATCCTTCTCGTCGGCGTGCTAGCCACCCTTACTGGGTTGACTTCCGCCAATGACGCGATCCCAGGCAGTGCTTTCGAAAGTGAGCCAACCCATGAACACAATTACAACACAGATCGCAGTCAACTAACGATCTATAGACAGCGGACATGAAGCAGCCATCGCCGGTGCTCCCATGTATCACTTTGGTCGCTCGTGGGACCGCAAGCCATGCTACCCAGAGGCTGGTCAGACTGACGGCGTCAAGACGGACGGCGTTGACTCGGACCTTTGCTTCAGCAGTCAGAATGGCGGTTGTGCCGATCCCGGACCCTGGAACGGCGTCAACTCTCCCGGAAACCCGTTTCCGGTGTATTACACCGTTCGGCAGTGCAACGACAATGAGTGGCGCGTTGCGTACAGCATCTACTATAAGAAGGATTCTGGCCATAAGAACGACTGGGAGAACAGCATTGTCATCTGGAACGGAGACGGTGCTGGCGGCTGGAAGCGGAGCGGTACGCTGCTTGGCTGGCACAGCGGTTGGGATTACATTGCTTGGGGCGACATCCAGAACACTGTGAACAAGTAAGCAAAATCCAGGAGATGCAGCTTTTCAAAGCGTCTTTGCTGACAAACGTAGCGACGGCGATCTTTTCGACCAGGGCGCCAAGGATCGAAACCATGCCAAGGTTTATCAGGGATTCTACTACCATGCCACGTTCTCGACTCGCAAGACGTCCCTCAACACCTGCGCCAACACTAGGGACGAGTTCCGATCGAACGACTGGTACTTCCTCCCTGACGGCACGTGGCTTCACAACGGAGATCTCATCCAAGGTAGGCTGGTAACGGAAAGAGAAATACCTTGAGCATCAAAGACTAACCCTGACTCCAGATGGCTGGGATTATGGCTCTGCCGACACGAACCCGTCTTCTCTGCGAAATGAAGCACGCTGGATCTGCAACCGAGGCTGATCAGCTCGGTTCAATAATTTATAATCAATGGAAACCTCTCTTTCCGGCTGATTAAGGGGCTGAAATTAGGATGTCAATCAGATACTGCGAATACGACCCAAGATGTACAAGAACCCTTGCGGTGCCTTCATTGTTCCAACAGCCGCAACATTCTGTAGTTTACTACACAAATTCAATCATAGACTTGAACACTCAATGCTTGCCGAACATGTGGCAGTAGCACAGCATCAATGTCCGTGACAAGATGACGATCACCCGGGAGCCTGAGAGATCATGCCATTATGACGCTCACTGGTGACCCGGATCGAATGTCAAGCGATCCTCTGGACGGAACCTTTCGCGAGGGCGCATATTGTCACAGACGTTGCTGTGCCTCAATACTCCAGTGCGGGGTCATTCTTGCATGAGAGTCGTCAGCATGAAAAGGCTGCCTGCCCCCAGCATTCCACATCTAACAGCCCAACACCGTCATCAACTGATACTTAAAGTGAGCATGGAATCAAGTGCTGACTCCCAGCGACAATTGGTCATTGGAGGCGCAGGAGCAGTCGCTGCTCTGTTGCTAGGTCTCGCCACAACATGGGCAATTAAAGACTACAACGCTTACATTGCACTGGGGCCCGGAGGGCCACCTAACAACTTCTTCGGCTGGGCCATCGTCAACATTGCCGTACGCCCTTTCTGTTCGACTAAAGCCAAGGCAACTTTCACCGATGACTACCCGAAACATGGAGCACACAATAATATCGAGTCCCTTCCGAGAAGACGTGGCCCACGTGCCAGTGTTGCCGGCCTGGTGCCACATCGTCAAGTCACGCAACGGGCCCCAGAAACCATGAGGACGGTGAGCATCGAGCCTACAGCCTTTGATAGCACTTGTTACGGAAAGGCTGATCCCTATCTATAGCCTGTCTCAAATCTTTTCGAAAATGCTGCTTCCGAAAACCCTGACATACTTGAGTAGCGAGTTTCGAGCTACGAACGACATCATGATGCCCTTTTCGTGGCTGAAAAGCTTCTCAACGAAAGTGCCATGCACTTACCGAAGGCGGCATCCATGGCAAAGGGAGAACTTGGACATCACCATGAAGACTTGTCGATGCACCTCTACCTCAGCCCGGCCGATGCGCGCCAGGTGATTGAGAAGGGCTGGGGAGAAAGACATCGCCTTTCTGTCCCTACGAACACCTGGTTCAGACACAGATACGGTATTGGAGACACGTATCTGATGATTTACGGGCCCCGTAACGAAGAAGAAATGGAAGCCTTGAGGACCATTCTTGAGAGCAGCATTCGATTTATGACAGGGAGAAACGTGAATGCCCTTGAATGGAGGAGTTGAAACAAGGTTTAGGGTTAAGATTTTCCTTTGTTCGATCTGATCCTGCGCAGTTCAACTTTTTGCCATTCGGTTTCTTATAGTTTTGCAAGTATACGGGATTCAACCCGTTCAGAGTTCAGACACTGTATTGATCTGCCCACTTCCAACTATAGCAAAATATCGACTACTTGGCCTGTCGTGGAGGCCTGTCTGCCCGCCATCCTTGAGCTGCGCCGCGATTGTCAGTCAGATAGCATGAGATAATTGACATGCTGTGGCACATGATACGTACCTAATTGGTGGAGGAACTCAATCAGAATAGGCATGAGAGTAGAAATAGCGAGAACCTGTCCCAGCGTCCAGCCATCTCTGAAGTTTCCGACGTTTGAAATGTCGAAAAGCTCCGAACGATAAGAACCGTAAAAGTAGAGAGCCACGATAGCTCCGATGCCCAGGAATAAGACATCCATGATTCCCAAAACATCTGCAAAGGTCCGGTATGTAGGGCTGTTTTGTCGAATGTCGGCTAGAATCCGAAGCTTATCGAAGTGCACATCAAAAGTCCTTCGGCGTTTCCCGTGTATCAGTGGAATAGGAGAGCCAGTTCCCCTTCTCTGGCGTCTTGCTAGCCAGGAAGCAACTGCACCCATGCTGAAACCTCTGACGAAACAGTAGCCTGCTAGAATAGAGGCTGCAATGACCAGAGTCCGTATCGGTAGTGAGTATTGAAAGTCGCAAACGTCGTCCCAGAAGCTTTCAAACTTATATGGTCGCTTTCCGTCGTTTGCATGAAACCAAATCAACATGATCACAAGCGTTAAGATGCCCACAGTAAAGGACATGTACATCAGCCACTTTGATAAGATTGTTGGTTTCCGAACTCGCTTCGTAGGATCCTCATTCCGTCTGGTATCCTCGAGCCTGCGGATGCATGCCCCGAGACGCACAAGCCACAGACAAACGAGATTGGAGTAGAGCAGAATCCAGTATTGCAACAGAAGATCTTTGGTCCATACGGTTGGCGTACCCGAGGCGAAGTTGTGTGTCAAGATGGCAGCGGGCAGCACCAATGCAAAGACAGCCGCCGAATCAGAAAAGCCGCTGTAAGAAGCTTTGACCGAGTCGTATAATAGCCGCATGATTGGCCTTTTCCCAGTTGGGTGGAAGAATCCTAAGTTGCAGGCCGTATGTCCAGGTGCTGTTCGGTTGCGTTTATTACGACTTTGAGACCACCATCGTGCTGCTTCAACCAAGGTGATAGCCGAATACAAAAAACCAGCCGCAAGTTGAATTATGTAGAAGATGAAAACCTGTCAAATCTTGAGTCAATACTCCTATATTACAGATGTTTAGATGGGCTCAAAACCTACACCAGGGCCGTTGACGTCGCCGAGTCGGCCATGGTCAAAGTTTAGCTCGCATACGGCCTTTTTACACCGGCGGCTCGGTTCGTCAATGACGAAGCGAAAGTAGGACGATTCAAACGGCAGTGGACTGTCTTCCCAGAAGTCCGAGTCCTGTCCAGCCACCGAATCTATCCACTGTTTGCGCTCTTCTCCAAACTGGCCACGTAGCGAATGCTCCCATTCGAGAATTTCGCCGTATCGAGCGATTTCGTTGAGGCTCTGTGGCAAAGCTTCTCGGAAATAGCGCTCAATCACATCAGAGTGAAGCGACTGAGGAATCCAAAAAGTGGTGTTCCCATCGCTTCCCGGAAGATCATCGACATCTTCAAAATTAGATAGATCAAACCATGACTGCAGGAAATCTTTCGTAAGATTGCAATCACTGCCAAAAGTCAGGTCGACGAGGGCTGGAGGGGTCCATGTCGCGAAATCTGTTGTTACATTGCCTGAAGACATCATCTAGGTTCGCGGGGGAGCCACGCTAAGCGAGAGATGACTCGGCAGTCTGAATAGTCGATGAATGTGATGTAGTGAGCTTTGCAAGGACGTGTATAAAGGATCTTCCCACCATTTGCGTTCTCTGGATCTTCCGAAGCTATATGTCCGACGTGGATGGCGAGCCTGATCTAATTCTGTCTGAGGCTGAGGGCAAGCTTTGGGCCCCCAAGCCTTCTTGCGGCGTCCTGAATAAAGCGTGTGTCAGACGACAGATTCAGGAAAGCAGGCTGGATTCCCAGCCACCACGAGATGCAGGACTGACGGCGATGGCATCCCAATCCAGAAGAGGCACAATAAGCGAGCTGCATAGGAAGTCCACAGAGATCGATAATTTGGTGTGAAGGCTTCCCATGTGGCAACACTTCCTATCTTGGACCAGTGTTTGGTGCAGCCTAGAAGGCCTGTGCCGCGCGCCTGCATTTGTGAGCTGAAGCAGGACATTTGAGGGCCAATAACGTCATCTGAGCCTTCTGAAGCTCAGTGACATCACTGAGGAGTCCGGTGTAGTGTAAGCACTGCGAAGGATCATGGATCATGGGCCCTGGAAATCATTACGAGCCTCATAATCGTTAGAATTATATGTAAAGGAACTTGGGGCTGTCCCGAATCGCGAACCTATATCGCTTCGCAGTGTTAATTTATTTGAACAATCGTTTTAACCAATATAAAGCCCATTAAGTCCTCGGTTGGCCCTCAAAAAAAAGTCGGCCAGTCATTGCAAACCTACCAAATCCCACATGTGATAAATGATGCAGTAGGCACACCAGTTTTGGACATCACCTGAAAATCACCCAGTCGAAGTGCCCAATGATTCATGTCAGACATTTATGCCTTGAAAGTCTCCCGACGCAGCCTTCGGCATCGCAGACATCCACACAGCAAGTTTGGCACCAAGTACTTTTCTTGTTGTTGGCCTTGCTGCCGCACCAAAAGCACCAATTCGGCTTTGACCCTTCATCGATCATCTGTCGAGCCAAGTTCTGCCGTGTCTCTTTGCTGGCAGTTCCAAGAATCGAGCGAATAACAGTCGGCTTTGACATGTCGACCTCGAGCCTAGGAAACCAACGAACCCAGGGGATCCATGGGCCGGCAGTGCTAGCGCCCATGATGAGTAGGGGCCCTGCGATGTCCTTTCGCACGAAGATCAGGCTATCTAATCCCCCGATGAAGCTCTGGGGATGCTCTTGACGCCCATTTTTCCGAGCAGCATCCACAATGAAATCTCGAACGGCCTTTCCAACCTGCCGACTCAGTACTGGGAAGTCCCCCGCCACAGCGAGATCCACAAGTGCGAGTGCCTGGACCAGAACCGGTGTCAGGACCGGCTTCGAAGCCTTGTTTTGCCAATGACGAACCGCTTGGACTTGCAGGGATCTCGCAATACCTAGACTACGAATAAATGGTGCTGCGAAATTTATCGCTATCCCATGGGCACACATGGCTCTGCCGAAGAAAGCCAGATCAGGAGGTTCGGCATCAGCGTACTCCTCACGCTGAAATGCAAAAGGTGCACCACAGCGAATTGCAGTCAGGGTCTCATCCGCCGCAAGAATGAGTTGCTTCTCGGCGCAGACCTGGCGTAGGCGTTTCAAAAGAACTGGGTCGAAGGCGCGACCGCTGTATTGCCCATCAACAATTTCGATAATGATGCCAATGCATCCGCTTTCCTTTGCGTCCTCTAGCTGTGCCCGAAGATCACCTTGGGAGCTGGTCGGGTTCAGGAAGAAAGGATCCGAGCCGCAGTGATGGCCCTTGTCAGGGTTGGTCCCGGGCGTTCCCTATGCAACCATTAGCTTATTTCATGTGTTCGCGGCGACGGAGAGACCCAAGAGGTGACGCTTACCACTGAGCTCGGTGAGTTCGCGACCGCTGTGTACGAATCGGACAGCAGGGCCCAACGCGGGGTGCTTGCCTGTTTCTGGTTCCAACCGACTAGCTTCAATACGGTGTCTTCTTCAATCACATGAACTGGAATGTTGGAACCCTTGGCTAGGATGAATCTCCCGAGCATCAAAATCATTTTGGATGTCAAGACTGGGTTCATGGCTTGTGTACTCGAGTTCTGATAGTCGATGGGATAGAAGCCTTTGAAGAACGAGCTATGTACAGATGTCAGTTAGTCAAGAGCGGTGTCTTGGCGAGGGATTGGTTGAATCATCTTACATGAATTTTGCTTCGAAATGAGCAAGGAGCTCGTCATACCTCTTCTCGAGCTTGAGGCGATTTGTTACGAACTGATGCCATAATGGATTGGCCGGTGTGATAGCCTGCAATTGATCAAAGCACAAGATGGCGCCCCAAGCACTGTTTAGATCATGGTTAAGTCTTTGCTTTGGTATCCCGGATGGGAGTGGGGGAGTTGAAAGACTCATCCTGACATCAAGTAGGCTGATGAACTTCTGGACGTAGTTTGCAAATTGTCGGGCAAGACCGGTTTATATTGATTAGCCACGGAAAGCGATGATGAAGCCATTGGCGTTGCTTGATGAGGCCTCTCAATATGGCCCTAGGCAGAGAGGCCTCACGATGGCAGGCAACACGAAGCTCTGCAGATACATCGCAAAGCCGCATTAGCGGATTCCAGGGGTGACTCGAAGATGAACAGGGGTCTACGATCGCCATCAAGGAAGTCAACTCGAATGTCACTGAGGTATTGCTCTGCAGTACCATTAGGTGACCTTGCTGTGTACGAACTCATGATCGCATACAGGATCTCCAAAACAGTAGTGTGAGGGCTGGGGTGCACTGTTCCACATTTGCAGTATCGCAGACCTGCTAAGCACCAGTGGTGCATATTGTGGATTAAGGACACTGGAAAGGGTCACAACAATGGCAGCTAGCCTGCGTATGACCCACGCGTAATTAGCTGTGCCGTAGACAAGCCCACGGCAGACTCGCCAGTAATGAGGCCATACGCCCGACTTGTCGTTGACTTTGCCTTCAAGGCTGAATCCTTGGCGGCCCAATCAGTTCTTGTCTTCTGTCCTAACTGTGGCGATGCAAACTGCACGGCCGATGGTGCGAATTTCTTGAGGCTCAGACGTCGCAAAATACGTGCGGCACAGCGCGGGAGAACTAATGCCGTATACCCCAGGCTGCCGGTCGCTGGTAGGGTAATTACTCAGACTACAAGCCCAGTTGGGTAAAACGCCTAAGGCAAGGTAGACTATTATCAAGTATTTAATCTATAATCTATATAAGATTTATAGCCTACCTATCTAGGAAGACTAATTAATCTATCTCATATCTATAACATAGCTAATACAGCTTCTGTTATAAATTTCGAGTGAAATCTCTATTGTTTAGCCAGCCCTAAAAGTCCTAAAAGCAAGGTTGCAATTGAGAATGAATTATACGCGTATGAATTCGCCCATACAATGCTCTCGGCACTCCATTGGCCGCGATTTCCTTTACCTCGTCCAGTGGTGTTGTTGGCGACTCCTGATCAAATGCCTGTCGGTTACTTCCACACTCCGAGAAGAGTTTAGCTACCTACCTATCTGGGGGCTGACGACATGTATGTGATTCGCCATCACCATGATTGAAATGAGATAATGGCCTCGACCTCGGCAGCTTCTCCTTCACCGTACTGCACATCCTGCGATCGAGATCAACTGTACCTACTTGACCTGTCAATCCGTCTCGCGTCGCTCCAAAATGGCCGGATTGATCAGAGAGGCGTACAGCCAGTTCAAAGACCTGCCCGTCCCAGACACGCTACAAACGGGCCGTACGATCATCATCACCGGCGCCAACGTCGGCCTCGGCCTCGAAGCCGCCCGCCATTTCGCCCGCCTCCAACCCGACCGCGTCATCATCGCCTGTCGCGACAAGACCAAGGGCGATACCGCCGTCCATTCAATCCGCGCCTCATTTCCCGATAGCCCGACGAAACTTGACGTCTGGGTGGTTGATATAAGTGACTTTGCGAGCGTCAAGGCCTTCGCGGCGCGGGCTGAGACGGAGCTGGATCGCGTCGATGTCTTCCTGAGCAATGCAGGTGTCGTAGCGTCGACGTATAGCGAAAGTATTGACGGGTGGGAGTCAACACTTGCGGTAAATGTTATCGGTACATTTTTACTCGTCTTCTTGATGATGCCGAAAATGCGAGAAACAGCCAAAAAGCATGGGACGACACCGCATATCACGGTGACTGCCAGCGGGGCAGGACATTTGGTGAGTAGCGTGGTCGGTACACTGTGCTTCAGTGCACCCACTGACAGACAGCTTTAGGCCTACTTCAATGAGCGTAAACAGGATAAAATCTTCGAAGCCCTCAATGCAAATCGCAGCCTCCTCGATCGATATAACGTCTCTAAGCTCCTACAGGTTACAATCGTCAAGCAGCTCGCCGCAGCGACACGGGTTCCAAGCTACCCCCCAAGCGAGAGGATCATAATCAATACTATACATCCGGGACTCTGCCAGACGGAGCTATTCCGGTCTATGCCCTTCCCGCTCAATTACCCGATGAAGTTGGGTATGCGTGTTTTTGGACGTACCTCGGAAATGGGTTCAAGGTGTCTTTTGGCCGGAGCGCTCGCTGGCGAGGAGTCGCATGGCCGGTACATGGAAAATTGCATCGTTGCCGAATACGCGCCCATTTTAAATGGCGAAGAAGGCGAGTTAATGCAGGTCAGGGTCTGGGAGGAGGTTGTTGCCATATTGGAAGGTATCCAGCCTGGGATCACCAAGTTAATCTGAAGTGATATTGACAGGTGAGAAGCGCTGGTGGTAATCGCTGTGTACGCGGATAGTAAGCGATTCGTCTGGAATAGGTTCAGCAGTAGTCACGATATGTAGAACGGACAGCAATTATCCATGAATAGCAGCCGAGCGGCTGCCGAACCCCAGACGGCGCCTACACTAGGTGTTTTGTGAGATCAAATCGGCATAGCACTTCTCTCAGAGGATAGATTTATATTGCATATCTCACGCTTTATAATGTCCGAGCGCCTAATAAATAGATAGAAGAAGTAGAAAGTAATCGTATGTAATAAAATTCTAATAGTGTTCTATCCAGTTAGTAGATAATTTATAGACTCTTATATGTACTTGAGGAAATAGCTTAGAGTTGAAGCTAACCCTTAGAGTTGTATATTATACTACTAGTAGTACTAACCCTATAGTCTAGGGAGGCTTTTATATATTTAACTTGTTGAGGTCTATACTGTTTCTTTGGGTGGCGTCTGGGAGGATAAACTAGAGATAGCAATGAGATCACGACCAGCTTGTGTTGCGACAGCACCCTACCGCCGCTTGCGCTGCACGCAACGCGGCAAAGGCCGCCCGCCTTGCTTCACGACGCAATGTCAACGTCTAATGTGCATCGCCCGAAAGCTGACTACTGTCCACCCCCACCCCCTGCACAACCATTGTCTCAAGACGACTCTCGGACGATGTAACTGCGTTTGGCCGAAACAGAGATGTCCACCAGGAAGAAAATTGAGGAACCTTTGTCGGCCGGCCGGTCCATTGACGATGGTTCCGCGTGTGGCGCTTCGACCAGCGTCAAGCGCATGCGCACGTACGACGCCCAAGCTATTTGATCGTGTGACAAAACGAGGCATGCTCCAGTGCGCACCCGACAACCCTCGTGGCCGTACATTGGGGCGCAGTTGCGCCTCTGCTGGCTTGTAAGCCGATCAGACGTTCCTCCGCAACACGATAGGAGCACGTCGTCGGGACACACTCTGATTTTGATCATCGCAGGGCAAGACTGGAGCGCGGAGCAGCAAGAGAACTTTTGTAGCGTCCTGATATTGCCGATTTTGAGTTCAACACCATATTCTGTCGGTGGCTGCCTAAATAGGTCAGTTAACCAGGAGAAATCTCTTGGATACTCAGCCGTCCCATGGTCAAACATGGAAGGCAAGATATACGAGCCATTCCCCATGGTCGCTGCCACATCCCTGAAATGGACCGGAGCCAAATTATAGAAACCAGACCCAGAGCAGTGCTTTCGCATCACCGATCTCCAAGCCCTGACATCCGAGATCAGTGTAAATGCCGCCGGCCCACTGTACCTATGTTTCGTCGCGGCGCAAGCCTCCACAACTTTCTTGGTGGTAGTGGGATAGACCCAAGGATCAAGGTGTCATGTCTGGGGTTTTCGGGACAGATCCACATAGTAGATGCCCAAGTGTCGATGCAACATTTGAGCAGAGATCTTTCCAGCCTGTATCCCGGTTCAAGATCCGAATTGCCTCCTTCACAATCCGTTGCGCGCTTCGCGATCCGTCCAAAAGTCCGATGCCTGTTACGTAGAGTCGAAACTGCGTCGCTCCTTTCAGCCAACTAGTTCGAACATCGTCTTCGATCTCTTGGTCGACTCGGAGAATCGGGTACTGGTCGTTCACCTGGCTCATTGCCGCATCGTCAAGGTCGACCAGTACTCGCATGAATATTGTCGCTATCAAGAGGCAAAACGGGTCACTGAACGCAGTCACCTTCTGATCTCGGATCAGACGGAACAGCGAGGCGGCGTGTAGCAGGCAGTCCTTCGTACTCTGCAGGTCATTCTGAATCCAGTAAGCCAGGTTCTCCCTTGCTTGCTGTGTAACCTCAGGTGTCGTCATCCACCCGAAGTAGAGATAGAGCTCTGTCTGCGATACTCTGCGAAGGATCGAGATGGTATGATATGTTTTGTGGAGAATCTCTGTAGACGGCGCAAGGTCTGGTAAGTTTTGGGATACCATTTCAAACTCTTGGTCAAGAGGGAATAGAGCGGTAGAGCAAGAACGGCCTTTCCCAGGCGCAATACCGTGTTGTTTGAGAATGCGCTGATGTAGCCACCCTTGAGCGTCGCGTTGCAACTTCTTCTCCTCTGAGAATACCGTCGACATGACAATTATACGCGCGGGCTCCTCGAGATCTTTGCAGTAGCTTTGGAAAGTTTCTTCGCTGGTGAATAAATCCGCAAATGTGGGCATCGTGATCTGGGCTAAGTCTTGTGAGCAAAGGCTGAAGGGGTAAGAATGTGAGGGGCTTACGAGGATATATCATCCTCTGCTTCTCCCACTCGATAGCCGAAGTGCATGCCCACAAGCGGTCGCTGTCGGGCAGTTGTCGATGAATGTCAGCTACTTCGATGGGTGGATTGATATCCCAAATAACAGATTGCATATGTTCCAAAACTGTAGGCCAGCGTCAGAAGGCCACCATAGGTTATGGTTTTGCGAAGGACTCACATAGGGAGAAGAATGCCAAACGCGTCCAAGACTCTTGCTCAATCCATTTGTGCCAGTCCTCAGCACGACGCCATGGTTGGCTTACAGCTTTGCCTGTGCGGAACAAAGAACCATTTTTGGAAACAACCGAGCGACAAATGGCAGTCAAGATTCCCTTTTGGTACTGAGAGCGTAGCGAACTTGCGAGGCCGCCACTACACTGCAACAGGAGTTGACTCAGAAGTACGGCTTGCCCAAAGGCAAGATCACCAATGACACGAGGATTACAACCGACCTGTAGAGTATCAGCTTGCAGGTTTCAAGTTTAGGCTCTTGAATACAAACCCTGTCTAGAATCGCTTCTGAAAGTAACTCTCTCAGCGATACTGCGAGGTTTGCCTGGTTGCTGACCTGCGAATACTGACTACCCACAGCGCCCACAGCTAGAACAAGAATCCAAGACTCATAGTTGGGATTGTAGGTAGCCAAGTGAAGAACGGGAATTTGTTGATGGGTATACTCGAAGAAAAGCTGCACAAATGTACCCAGTACGTTAGCTTCGGGAAATGCGAGGTCTGAGCCCAGCGCCAGTGTGAGCCGGTCTCTATGGATGAGAAAGGATGTTCGAATAGACTCATAAACCACGTTGGAGAACTGTGGAACATGAAAATGGGTTTCTGCCGCAAGGGTGTCATTGTCGTCTATCATTGATGACACGTATCGTGGCAATTGTTCCCTCAGCCGGAGACTGATGACGGATGTATTCGTAGCAAATGTTGCATCCTGAGACGCAAGCCCTTCTTTCTCATCGTACGTATCCGGCATCTTGGCATACCGAGTCTCAGTAGGAGCTCTGAAGCCTTCAATATCAATGTCCATCCCATACTCCCAGGTTGGGATTGGATAGAACCAGGATCCGGTCGTGTTCAAAGTTGGCGCGACATTGTGTGTTGGTACAAGCGTGCCCGCCAAGGCTGGCTCGAGCCGATATTCCAGCAGTGCGTCTGGCGTTTCGTGGTTCAGGGTGTCTTGGTCGTCCTGGAGGTTGCCAAATGACGTTGAAGCTACGGGCACCGACGGCGCAAACGCTCCACTAATGCCGTGATCATACATGACGCAGCCGCCTACGGCGCCGAAAGGGTCTTGGCGGTGTACGGATTCCCGGTTCATGTGCGGGGTGTCCCGAATTGATTCTCCATGATGTGAACTCGTCTGTGAGGAAGATATTACATCGAACCCATCATTAGGTTGATTCGTGGCAACCGAGCATTGAAGCTTCCGCTTTCTGCAACGGCCACAAGGCATATCTCGATCGCATTTCTGTTTGGACTTTGCACAGTTGGTGCATGCTTTGGACGGACCTGCATCAGTTGCTTTTGCCAGCGCGGCAGTTTGCTCGGGAGAGAGTTGATGTGTCCCAAGATGTCGTTTCAGGGTATCTCTGTTGATGGTCAGCACACCAACTTTCTCTGGGGTTTTGCTGACGCGTCGCGCTTGCAGTACCTCCTGGAGAATTGTCGAGCACAAAGCGGGCAATGGAAGGGAAGATGGCCAAGATGTCGCCTCTCGTGTCGTTGCAGATGTTCAGCGCGACGAAAAGTCTGGTTGCAGTGTTCGCAGACCCAGCTACGTGTTGCCCCGGTGAGTCCAGCATCATCTGCATTGGGCGCCTCCTGCTCTGTCTGCTCACTCATCGGTGTAATCTGACTATGCTGTTCGAGGATGCATGTGAATGACAAGGTAAAGCTCTGTTGTTGACAGCTCAGCTGGGGCGTGAGGCGGATCTTATGCGGCGGCGGCGGGGGCCGCCGCTAGGAATGGGGTTTTTTCAGACAGGGGGTGCGCCAGAGTAATATCTACCTAGTTGACAAGGCATCGCTAAGTCATAGACTTTAGTTAGTCTATCCAGAATCACGGGTTCGACTCGTATTCTATCTTACTTGGAAGGTTTCACCACCCGAGGAGCCGAGGTGGGTCTCCTATGGCCAGCGAAACTACCCCGACGACCAGTCGGCAGGCTAATGACATGCCGTCTTATGCGTGGAAGATCCGCAGATGAGGGGAATATTGGTGGGATAAAGTCGCGCTTGAGAACCTTGGCAAACCGATCATGCCAAGCGCACCATCGTTAACAAGTTTAACACCGACTCGCCCATCGTCTGCTACACGACCTTCTCAATGCAACGACTGACGTCCCCATAAAAGCATCATGTCTTGGAAATCGTCTAAGAAGACCTCTCATGTGTTCAGGGTCTCCGGATCCTTGGAACTGACCCTAGACGTTGTCTCCAACGAAACCAATCCTCAGACGGCTGTGATACATTATCATGGAGGTTATGTTGTCAGTACACGGTGATGGTCTTACGATAATACTAATCTTGGGACTGCTCCAATTACTCGTCAGATGCTCGGGCGGCTGATTTGATCTGTCCAGGTTCTTGGGCACAAGGACAGCTGGAGTCCCGTCTGGCTCATCGAAACCGCACTTCGTCGTGGATGGGCATATGTCTCGCCTTCATACCGCCTTCTGCCGGAGGCGAGCGGCAAAGACGTTCTCGACGATGCCTTGGCCGCTGCAAGGTGGGTCATCGAAAACATCACGCCTCGCATAATCATTGCTGGCTCCAGCGGCGGCGGCTATCTCTCCGTGGCTACAGCAGCCCAACTTGACATCCCACGGCCATTAGCCGTGCTTTCGGTTTACGGGATGCTCGACTTCGCTATCCCACCCTATACCACCCTTGGGTCAACCTCCGGACAAGCGCCCCCCTTGCCCGATTGCGACATTGTTGAGCAGCGAATCTTGGAGCTCAGGGGGAAACCTCCCATTATTTCACACGAGCCAATCGACTTTCTCACTGATGAGAGGGTGGTTCTGATTAGGGGCATTCACCAGGCGGCGCTATACCCGGATCTCCTTACCGGCGAGCTCGGCCTGTCAGCTAAAATCAGAGAGCATGGGTTGAAAGCGATTCATCCGTCCGACCATCGTTTCTTCCCTGTGGCTTTCGGTCTGACGAAGGACTTTCCTCCTACTGCGTTGCTGCATGGACTGGCAGACGACTCTGTATTTCCCGTGCAGAGCATCAGCGCAGAAAAGAAGTTGAAGGAGCTAGGGGTTGAGGTGATTCTTGAAACAGTGGAGGGAAAGGGCCATGGATTCGACCTTGGTGACATTCCTCCTGGCACGGACGTCGAGGCCAAGGAGACGGCGTCGACCCCAGTGATTGACAGCATCAGGCGTATCATCAACTTCCTCGATAAAGCGGTCGCCTCCAAGTAATTGCTGATTGCCCATGTCAAAAGATTCAATACTTAGAAAGTCTTCTGTATCTTGCTTGTAGAAATCTTTGAGTCCCGTCGTCTACTTTTTGACCCATGGAGTGATGTCATTCGAGGGTGAGCAAGCGACCAATACCTGATGTAGTGTCGGGCCATGAGTTGATCTGATTCACTGCCATGGAGAATAATCACCACTATGGGGCCTGTTGTTGGAAATCACCCATGCCAACATGAAAACCATCCGACTTTCAAGTCGACGACGCTGACGTAAAGACTCAGTATTCAGGCACAAGTCTTCTCTGACATTATGTACCACGTTATGCATCCTTCTAAAGTAATCACCACAGAATTTTTTGATTGACAGCTTCGCCTGAGCTTCGGGGCAACAAAAGTATCAGGGCTTTCAGGTTGGGTCCGCTGGCCTCACAATTAGACCCTGACAACCAGTTTCTGGGCTAAAACGCCGCGCTTGAGACGATCCAAGCCATCCTGAGTGCTTCCAAGCCCCTGGCCGACAACGACGGGCTCTGGTTTGAATTGCAAGGAGCCTGAAGCCATCGCCTCGGGCACCCATGTTCCCCAGACAGCATCCAGCACACCCTTTCCTCTCTCGTTGAGCAGCTCGAATGCAGGTGCTTAGATCGTCAGTAGTGCGTCCTCCGTATTACAGGGGATGATCCTTGTGCCTAGCGTTTGAAGTTCAACTTACACATGCTGACCAAGAAGTTCTTCGACAGAGGAATGGTAGGCGGTACAACCACCCCAACTTTAAGGGGGCCAGTTCTCTCCACCACGGCGCTGATGGGTCCCATGGTCTCGGGCTCTGAGATGGAGTCAAACACAGCAACAATTTCGCGTCGAGAAAACTCGGCAACTAAGTCCTCCACAATGGAAGGAGATTTGTGGTCGAAAACCAGATGAGCGCCAAGAGACTTGACGAGGTCGTGATTGTGGGCAGAGGCAGTGTTCACAACCTCGAGTCCAGACGCCACTGCCAGCTGGATGGCTGTGGCTCCGACCGAAGATGAACCACCCCAGACGAGAATGCCCTTGTTCACAGGCACTGGCTTGGTGTTAGGTAGGGGCAGGGTGAGGTGGTCTGGGTGGTATAGGCCGGCAGTACGGCAGCCTGCTCAAAGCTCACGTCGTCTGGGATAGGTGCGACAAGGGAGGCGAAGACAAAGAGAAATTTCTGATAGGCACCGAAAGCCGGCTTGTCGACGCCTAGGCCCATGCAGTATCTGGAAATATGATCAGCCAAGACGAACTCTAGAACCGTGTCTGTGCCCTAAGACGATGGTCTCACGAACCCCATGACATGCTGGCCCACTTGGACATGCGTCACATTTTCGCCGACTTGTTCAACATAGCCAGCAGCATCGGCTCCTATAATAAATGGGTAACTGTTTTTGAACATGTCTCGCGCTCTTCACGGTGCTATCAGTAATGTCCGCGTTTCCCAAAAGAAGAACGCTATGCTAGCAACGTCAATATACTGAACACGCCACTCGACAGGATTCTAGCAGGTCAAGTCAGTAAACGCGAACAAGAACCTTTCTGTAGCTACATTCCAAGCATACCAGTGCGATTGCCTGCGCTCTGATGACGATTTCTCCGGGTCCTGGCTTGGGATAGGGCGCTGGACCCAATTCTAAGGGGTAAGTTTTCGACCCCGTGATCCAGGCAGCTTGGTTAGCCGTCATCTTTGAGTCTCGAAGAGTAAGAGTGGACCACCGTGAAACGTATTTTCAAGCGCAACCTGGACGGCTGCAAGAGATTCGTGTCGAGATGGACACGTCAGCTATAGTGGTACAAATATTGCTCTTTTTGCATCGCGAACTCGACTGATATCCAAACCCATCCGGCTCTTTCGTACCGCAATGGCGAAGCCGTCAGGTCCACGGCCTTCATATGAAGTCTGAGCTTACAAATGGGTAAGATTGCTTTCATAGTTCGAGAAAGTAAGCAAACTGGAAGGAGCATGAAGTCACGGCATCTGGGATTATGATGTTCGTCAAGCCAAACGCTAATTCTTCCATAGCCGTATCTTTGTCACGGACTTAGGGCGTAAGGATTCAGGGATTTTGGAAACATCTCTTTTGAACCCCCTTCGTCAACTGCCGAAGCTGCGATTGGTAATAGTTTCCACCCTGTCGAAGAAGTCGTGCTCCATTGTGGGGGATCCCGACACGAGTTGACGCGGTTGCGGGGAAATCCCGAAAACGTCTGTGATGCTGGAACACACCCCTGTCACCAGCCACACTGCTGCTGTGAAGGGATCTCCGGGATGACTAGTGAGAACGATGAAGAAGAATATATTCGCTACGCTAACAATGTTCGCTTACCGAGATCTCCAAACTCCATATGCGACTCGGGTCCCGGTCATGCGATAGCCCCCCCCCTTAACGCGTGTAAACCGTGCCCGTCGTCCAGGCCCACCACATCTGGATTGCCGACGCGAGGGCCACGAGTTCCCACTGCGCCCCCATTTGTCCCGTCAGCCCCGTGCCCATGAACGCGAACAGCGCCGATTTGGTCATGCTCGCCGACATGCTACGCGCCATGACGGCAACGATCTCCTTGCCGTCGCTCGCGAACCCCGGACCCGCGGCACCAGACCGGTTCTCGGGCCCCCACAGGCGCACGAGCTTCCAGCCGGAGGAGAAGACGCTCCCGCCCGTGAGGTGCTTGACCTCGTCGCCGAAGGTGGAGCGCCACTCAAAGGCCTCCTCTTGCGGGGGGTCACCCTTGCGGCTTGGCGGCGGCGGCACGGCGAGGGTGAAGGAGAAGACGATGGTCTTGAGGGAGTACTCGTACTTGAGGTTGATGACGAGGGGCGCGGTGCCGGGGTTGGTGGCGGCACCGGGTGGCAGGGTAATGGTGCTTCGCTGACTCATGGTGTAGTTGAGGGGGCTCGTCTCGGCGAGGACGGGGTCCGTCTTTTCGGGGCCGTCATAGATGGTGAGGAGTGGTTTCTTCATGCCCATGACGGCCCAAGAGGTCGAGACGGCGAAGAGCTTTTCTTCGCCTGAGGTGCCCAGGTGAAAAGTGCGTCCTGACTTCCAGCTCAGGTACACATTGAGGCGAGGGGGAAACTTAAGGGTCGCGGGTACGATTGTCGAGTCACCAGGATATGTCGGTCGCTCGTAAGAAGGCGCATCTTGGGCTGCAGGAGGTCCGTGATCGTGGCTCTTATCCGCGTCTGAGTATGATGGCGGTGGATTGCTGGAGCTGGCTTCATCGTTGTCGTCGTCATGACGTCGGAAAAGCGATTTGAGCCCCATGATGATATTGTTTGATGACGCTTCGCGAGGACGATTGATGGTAGGCCAAGGCCGTGATTGTTTGATTGCTGCTAAGGGGCTCTAAGAATCAAGGCCAAGAAGGGGGAATGCCTACATATTTATCTCAATTTACTGCGCCCTCGCATCTTGCAACGACGATCATCTCAGCTCAGCTCGGATTGCTCTGCAGTGGGGATAAGACAGTGAGCGCTGGCTGGCGGTAGTGAGATCATACTTGTGGCTGTGTGGTGCACACTCACCACTAGCCAGGGTGCTCCAAAGCGATACGCGTATAGAAGTTTTGGCAGTAGAAGGACCCTGTCTACAGGGCTGAAGTCGATTTGCTCGCGAGCCGCGGGACCTGACATGCGTCATGCAGCAGTAAGCAGCATGATCAGGTTCGAAATGAAAGTTCGGGCTGAAGCTGACCTTCGGTGGGCTAAATGTAACGCTCGCTTCAGTATTCCCGATAAAGCTCTGTGAGATGATGGAGTACAGGCACCTCAGGCCTTGAGCAAAGTATGGTGTTGGGCGCTGAGGCTACCTCCACCCCACCCTGTGAAATGGCGATCCAGCCATGAAGAACGCGCTTCGGTGAGGCTCAAGTCCGGCAGGTTGACGACAGAGTCACAAGGAATAGGATTGGTTTCGTGTCCACAGCGAGCAGGAGCGCTTCATCTTTCTTATAATTCTTGAATAGAAGAATGCTTAGGAATATGACCCCGAGGAAATGAGCAACAGACCGAAAGCTACAGTACTTGTATCAATCGAGTTCGTGACGGCAGCGATAGCGGGAGTGATCAGCGTGAAAGGGTGTTGAGCTTGGAGTGGACAGCCAAGGCCAGTAAGAAAATCATTCTACGTCGCTATAGCTCGCCATCCCCGTATATCCCGTTCCAGGGCTCCTCACAAGTTAATCACAACCAAAGCTCCCACATTTAAAGATGAGCATAAGTTTTCCGCGGCGCATCCAACGCTTGACACTTGAAAAACAGCACGAGGTGGTAATTTTCTTCAATAGACATATCTCATTAAGTTTGTTGTATGTGATCACCATCTATGTACAGCCCTGTTCATCATGCTTCCAGATTAGACGACGTTCTCCTTGCCGTGAGCGCCGCACGAGTGGTGGTGGTCAGCCTCCTCGGCAATGGCGGCCCAGCGCTGGAACTCCTGGCGCATGGCAACGACGCCGCGCTTGGCAGACGAAGTCTTGGAGCGGCGGGGCAGGTCCTTGAGGTCGCTGTTGGCGAGGATGGCAGCGGCGCGAGCGGCGGCCTTGGCGTTGACCGTGATTGCCTCCCAGTTGATGTTGTCAATGTTGTCGCAGGCAAGGTGGTAGCAAGGATCGTAGGGGGGAGTGCCGGTGAACAGACCAGACGAGGGAACGCCAATGTTGACGAAGCCCACATAGTCGGAACCGGTACCGAAAGGGGCGTACTCGGCGGGGAAACCCTCCTTGGTAAGGTAATCGTAGAGGAGGTCGGCGCCGAAGGCGTCGCCGGCGTTGTCACCGCGGTAGACGGCGAACATGGGGTTGATGGAACCAATCATATCGTAGTTGAAGTAGAAGCGGATCTTGTCGGCATCCTCCTCGGACAGAGTGCGAGTGTAGTAGAGGGAGCCGATGAGGCCGACCTCCTCAGCGCCCCACCAGATGAAGCGGACCTTGTTCTTGAGGCCCTTGTACTTCTTGAAGGAGCTGATGATCTCGAGGATGGCGCTGGTGCCAGAGCCGTCATCGTTGACACCAGGGCCGGCGGGGACAGAGTCCAGGTGAGCACCGAGGACGATGACGTTGTTGGGGTCGCCCTCCTTGGTCTCGGCAATGACGTTCCAGGTCTCACGCTCCTCATAGACGGCGTCGACGAACAGCTTGACAGAGAGAGTCTCACCAGCGCCGAGGCGGGCCTTCCAGGCCTGACCGACCTCAAGAGGGATGGTGCCAACGGGGGGAATGAGGCCAATGTTCTCGAAGCCGAGAGTGGCGCCAGTGATGGCGTTACCGGGCTGGTTGTGGTAGAGGATGACGCCAACGGCACCCTTGGAAGCAGCAAGCTTCAGCTTCTCAGAGATGGCACAAGCACCTCGCTTGACGAGGGCGAACTTGCCCGTAGCATCAATGCCCTCCCACTGGTCAGCGAAGCAGCCAGAACCGCGGACGTCATCAACAGGGGTGTCAATGAGCTCGGCGGTGATACCCTCAGCAGGGGTAGGGGGGTTGTAGGTCAGAGCAATGACGACAACGTCCTCGCCATCAGGACCAGTAACAGAAATATCGTTGAGCTGGACGAAGGTATGGTTGAAGTACTGGATCCTCGTGTCGACGGTGGTGGCGAAACGAGTCTGAACGCGCTCCAGGATGAAGTCAGAGGAGGCCTTGTAGCCAGGGTAGCCGTAGGCACGGTTGCCGCCGTTGTCACGGGCGATCTTGTTGAGGTTCCAGAGGTTACGCTGAATCCTGGGAAGCCGTCAGTACGATGTAGTCGGGTGAGAGTATGTCAGACCATTGACTCACTTCTGGGTCTCAATGTCAGCCACAGCCTTCTCAGGCGTGAGCGGGTTAGAGGCAAAGCTGCCAATGGCGAAAAGGCCAGCGGCGAGGGCGGCGACGGACTTCATGATGGAAGCTTGATGGGTACGCGATCAGTTACTGCGAAAAGGCTCCTAAGGAACAAGAGGATCCAGTTCGGAAAGGCGGGCGCAACGGGTCCCATATATACTTGGACCGAGATCGTCGACACGGCTCATGCCTCGTGCCGTTGCTACGCGACACCCATGCCATGTGCTACCGAGCCTGGCGTTGGTTCTTTGGCCAAGAAATGGCGCGATAAGAAAGGCAACTGATCCAAGCCCTTGATCAAAAAGACTTTTGGTAGGCAGACCTAGCTGAGGGTGGCCAAGATGTTCGGCGGCTGGCCGCATCTGTGGGGTGGCGGAGGGGTTGGAGAAGCAGAGGGTTGCTAGGATGGTGATGGACCACACCGGTGATGCTACCCTCTGGCAGGCAGGTGGCGATGGGATGGCAACGTAATAGGGAACCAGCCGAGGGCGTGGCCAGGGACCTTGGGTCTTGGTGAGCAAGTATCCATGGTGTCGAAGGCCAGGTGGGTTGCTTCCATGAAGACCAGGTATCGCGTTATTGGCAGCGATGAAGAGGCAATGCGAAGTCGCGAAGAGGTGGAGATGGAGTCAGGCAGGAAATGGCAGGAGATGGAAAGAAGCTCCTGCCCTGTCCCTGGTCGCGCAAGTCAAACCCCGCGAGGGCGCTTGGCCCGATTGGCTAGCCCACGATCATTGCCATATACGGAAGGTGCCCTGATTTTTACTGAGGGGGTTCCCTGTCCTGCCGGCCACTACAAGCGGGCAGGTACGCTATGGCGCGGGCAATTGCGATGGAGCTGCTGCGGGGACAGGCAGTTGCTTGCACAGCAGCTTTGCTATGTATCCACCTACAGTAGGTGGTGCTTCAGGTGCCGTCCCTCCCTTCCAGTGCGTGAAGGGTTTTTTTACTCCTGTTGGAGATAGCCTCACGGATGCCTCGGCCTACAAAGTTGTAGGAATGTCAGTTGGACATGAGACCAGATTGATATCTTGTTGATTCAACAAGGGGAAAAAAAACTACTGCGACTTGGCAGGATACACCTGGCCATACTCGGTGCCCAGCAAGAGGCCCCATTACTAGCCTTTCGCCCCTCCGGCCGGCTCGACCGACAATCTGCATCTCAACGTCCCAATCAGGCAGCTGGTCAACCTCGCACGCTGATTGTACAATTGGATACGAACAGCAAGGGTAAGGGTCAGCCGCTGCATCGGTGGCGTGTTTCCCGCCGGGCTTTTCGCACTGATACATCCGATAAATCAGCATGGCATTCCTTGAGATGTTGCGAGACGCAACTCCACGGGTTTACAAGTCACTCGAAAGAGGCAAGGCAGTCGGCAAATTGCTGTCTGGCGCATCTTGTGGTCGCATAAATCTCTCCTTCGGGTTCATCGTGCAAATTTGATCCAGAGTGGTCAACCTTCTGGCGCGTGTCTCGTTTTTTGCCATCCCTTAGCATTGACCGGGACTTGGCCCTGTAAATAGCCCTCGGCATCTTTCAAAAGTCTATCAATACTCAGTGGCCATCACCATGTACTCTGGAGCCTCTGATACTGCTCCACGTCACGATTGTGGACTTTGGTAAGGGCATTGCTTTTTTGGTGTCAATCACGTAGCATTCATTTGTACGGCTTCAAAGCCAGGTAGGTGTGATCTACTTGCCATGATTCTCTTGGCAGGGAATGCGTCATATGATGTCGCCAGGCTCAACATGTTAATGATGGGTTTGATACCAAAAGACATGAATAATAGCAGACCCATGCCGGGGAGAGCCGCAGCACAAGGGTATTCCGCCATCCACACCACTGACGTTGGTGCATCCTGTTTCATGATGGCCTACCCCGGATCCGAGGCCTTGGTTATGGATCTTAGCCCGCCCACGTAGGCTACTACAACATCACTGCGTGCTCTAGGGCTGAGATCGGCGGTTCCTGCATCCTGTATCCATGGTCCCTCGTGGCTGTCGTATCGGCCAATGCGTCAGTTAAGGGCTTGGTTGGACCATCATGGTTCTCGCTGCATGCCGGCCTGGCATTCTGACACTACCGGGCCTTGCCAAAATGGATCTATCCGGCTTTTGCTAACCCTGTGAGCCCTGATGGTCATCGAATCCAATCAAAACGTTTGATCCCACGTTGATAAGCTGGCCAAACATTGCACCAAGGCAGAATCAAAACGCAAACCCAGTGGGATTTCTCACTGCTACTTTATGCAGCCATACTCATGGCTATTCAAAGTTTATCCAATGGCTCCGGTGCTCCAATGAACAGGATCCCTTTGGGCAGTATGATGTTCGGCCATACCATAAGCTCGCGTAGTGTATAGCCCTGTAGGCCTTTTGAGTGGCATTTTAAAACTGCTTTACTGTTTATGGGATTGTGCACAGTAATTTCGTGCTCTCATCGCCTTCTCATGCTAAGAGTGGTTCTCAAAGAAAGGCTTTACATTCTTGACTGAAGTTATCACAGGAATCCTTTCAATCCATATCCACTTCGCGTCTGATTCGATTTTTCTTCGACCACTATCCGAGTGCCTCTCAGTTGTGCGATATACAAGCGCTCACCAGGATATTACGTTAATTCAAAGATGTCCCTTACCTCTTGCATGTCAAAGGAAATCTCGAGCTGATGCTTTATGTTTGGCTGCAGTTGTTAAGAAGAGCCTTGAACGAGTCGAGCACTTGTTAAAGCACTTCTTCAAGCACTTCTCCAAGAATAGTTCATCCTAATCGCTACGAAATGGTCAATATAAACGACAGATTGCTCACTTCAAGGATATCAATATACTACCAAGAGTCTGAAGTAATGGGCCATAGTCATCACGGGTTAGACGCGTTTTCAGCGTTTTTGGTGTCAGGACCCTCGAGTAGGTAGTTATGGGATGGCTGCAGGGTGCCGATTGTTTCATCAGCATAGCAGTTCATGGCCACTTGTGAGAAATGCCTACTGTTGAGCGCTTTTACTTAAGGGAATCACATCGAACACCAACATTATAGGAGGTTTCAATTCGATCCGCTCCAGGATTGGATGGAGCATTCGCAGCTTGCTACAAAGTACCTTCCATCTCATGATATCTGAATCAGCCAAGCTCAGGGATCTGACCATGTCCTGTGGCCAGAGCAGTCCTCCTCGATGTGCTCTGCTCATCGAAATATGGCACCTCTCCCAGTCCAACAGCGCGGTTACCGAAACGCTCGCCCTGGTCGTCATAATCGAAGGTGGCAGTGTGGAACACACTGCGGTTATCCCAAATGGCTAGCCATCATATTAGCTCATTTTCCACGATGCGGATCTCAACATCCGGAACTTACCAATGTCGTTGGGGTTCTGCCACTTGAAGCGGACCTGCAGGTCGTGACCCTTGTAGACAAGATCCAAGAACCAGTCGAGCAACGCCTTGCTCTCCTCAGCCGTCACGCCATTGATGTGCTTGACGTGGCCACCGACAGGGAACACGCTCTTCCAGCCTGTGACGGGGTTCGTGCGCACGACGGGGTGAATGGCCTTCAGTGTGGTGCCGACATTCTCGGGCGCGCCGCGAGGCTTGTCGTACAGCTTGAAACCAGCCTGCTCGGCGACCTTGCCGAAGGCTGGCTGCTCAAAGGTGACTGACAATCCCTCGAGGAATTTCTGGTAGGGTTCACTGATCCTGTCGTAGATCTCATAGCCTGAAGCCCACAGGGTGTCTATCAACGCTCAGTAAAAGAACCGTGTACGCTTGCTTGCTTGACCGAGGACACTTACCACCGCCGGTTTTGGGCAGCTCAACTAGTCGAAGAGAAGAAAAGTCGGCAGGGACAGGTTCAAAAGCGATGTCGCTGTGCCACTGGGCTCCGTTCTGCTTCTTAGGGCTGAGCTGATCCGACTGCTGCTTGATGTAGAACTTCTTGTGCTGGAGAGAGCTGATGGTGCTGATCTCCGGGTCCGAGCCACCATGCTCACGTTCAGAGTTGAGGATTGGGTGGATGTGAAGACCCGAGGTAGCTGGCCTGCCAGAGAGCTCGCCGAGGCGGAGAATGAGTTTCTTCTGGAGGTCGTTGGTGAGGTTATCCTGAGCACGGAAGAACACGACTCCGCGTTCGGCGACTGCATCTAATCAGCACTAGAACAATTGGTGGAGGGCGCAAAACTTACTCGTGATGGCTAGGTCTCGGATCAGCTCATCTGCGTTGGGGGACTCAAGCCACTCAACGAGGTTGGCCTTCGGAAATTCACGTCCAATGACAGGAGTCACGTCGAAAGACTCGTAGCTGTCAAGAACCCCAGTTTGTTTGAGAGGCTCCCGATGACTTCCCTTGGCCTTGGTATGGACCGGAACTTCGGTCTCGAGGGCCGATGGCGCCATGATGGGAAACTTGAAATTTGAGTAGTGTGTCTAGAAGCTTGGAGCAAGAGGCGTGGATATTCAGGTACAAAAAGATAGGAGATCTAACAGCCGTATTTTCTGTTTTTGCTTTTGGTTCAGAATGATGGCCAACATTCATCATTACGGCGGCACCATAAAGCTTCTTTATACACTGGCGACGGGCCGGCCCTTGAGGGGTTCCTCATAGGGGTTGCATAACATACATCCGATATCGCCAATGTGTTCAGCCGAAGCTGATGATCATCATCCAGTGCGGGGCTCTCGATAAGATGCCAGCGGCCATGTCGCATCTTCCCCGTGGTGGAAGTATTCGCACAGATTTCGTGATCCTCTCGGCCTTGATGAGATGTGGGCATTGCGTGGTTCTGGGGTCAATGGTGTCATCCACATAAAGCAGCCAGTCGTTTGCGGGGAATTGATACAACTGCTAATGCTCCGAACTCTGACAAACATGTCGCCTCCTGTTGGGAATATGGGTACTGGTACTTAGAGGTGGACACGCCATCTAGAGATGTGATGATGTACAGGCACGTTCCAAGGCCAAGGTCCAGAAGGGGATTTGGCACCGATACCCGGATCGTTTCATCAATCCCGACCACTGGTCTACCTCAAGATTTACCACCTTCATCTTTTCCATACATGAGTACTTTGTGATGCTCGACCTCAGCGACTCAGAATCCTCATGCCGTCCATTCGGAAGCGTTACGGATGCTTGGCGCATTGGCGTCAAATCTGTGGACGATGGCGAGCGAAGACGCCATAACAAAGCATCTTGTACTGGCTCAGTGACTTGCGCACGGAGCGACAATCACTATGCCAGCCCAATGAGATTAGTTGCTACATAACGACTGGATGTAAGATGTTCATGAGCTGCAGAGCTGCAGAGCAGGTCTTCTTGGCCCTAGTTAGAATGTATGACAATTGCATCGATGTACCTATCAGGTTGGCTCCAATTGTCCATTGCCCTATCCTACAAGAGCGCGCAGCACCAAGTGCTTTATTCGAGTGAGGAATCTCCGATCGTCACAAGTCGTTCGAGAGTCCACCAGCTCCACGACCGCTGCATCGCATCGTGCTCGGTTTGAGGCCTGCATTGAATGTGGCGTTTGATTCGAGTGATTACTCCTGAATTTTTGACAGAGGTGTGCGGTCGATCATGTGGCCGCCATCAGTGGTCAGGGGCCTCAGCACGCCATCGTCGCGTCAAGCGACGTGTTGCACCCCGCTGGCCATGACCCCGCGGTCTGTTCGATCTTGGTGCAATTCCACATCAGCCAGAGCGTTCGAAACTTTTGTAAATCTCCTGAACATTGTATTTTCCGTCAAGGTCGTCGATTGATGTATACGACAAATCCGTGGATTTCGCCTATCGTTTCTTCAACTCAAGTAGACACCTCCCTAGACGCGAGACATCAACGCCGAGGAGCCAGCCTACATGAAGTGCTGTCAAGATGGCAACCGTCTTGACAAGAAACAAAACAAAGATCAGTAAATACGGCACGACGGAGGAGACGACTTCGCTTCTGGCCATCGATGTCGCGCCGCTGGGTGCACCCATAGACGAGAAGCGGTTTTGGTTCCAGCGAAGGCGCAACTATGACCCAGATGCCATCGCAACCCAAGTACGACGTCCCAACGATCCATCCTGTGGTGGCTCATCGATGCTCATACAGAGTCTAGGCGAGCGTGTTCGATGACCCCGACACGGCGGACCGCTACGAACCCCACCCCGAATGGTGAATATTCTCATTCTCGCGACCGACGGTGCGCGATTCGTAGGCCAAGCTCACATGCGCGCAGGGAGAACATTCATCGGTTTGACCCGTCGGCTCGGTGGTCATGGGGAGAGGAGCACAGCCTCGTTCGCAAGATCGACTGGCGTATCATGGTCTGGGCTTGCATCATGTTCATGGCACTCGAGCTGGACCGCGCAAACATCCAGCAGGCTCTGACGGACAACTTCCTGGGCGATCTGGGCATGACCACGAATGGTAAGCTAGCTCACAGCTCCAGCGAAGCGTTCTGACCCAAGATACAGATTACAACCTCGGCAATACCATTTTCAAGCTTAGCTTTCTTTGCGCCGAATTACCCTCCCAGCTGCTTTCCAAATGGATCGGGCCAGACAGATGGATCCCGGCGCAAATGGTTCTCTGGAGCTTGATTGCGAGCACTCAATTCTGGCTGTCTGGCCGGCATTCGTTCTTGATATTCAGGGCCCTGTTGGGAATGCTGCAAGGCGGTTTCATTCCTGATGTGAGTCCCCCGTCAGATGCTTGTGACCAGCGATACTGACCTGGACGAGGTCATCCTGTATCTCTCCTATTTCTACAAACACCATGAGCTCTCGCTCCGACTTGGCTTCTTCTGGACGGCCATGAGCCTCGCAGACATATTTTCGGCCCTTTTTGCGTCGGGCATCCTACATATGCGGGGCGTGAACGGTCAGGCTGGATGGCGATGGCTGTTCCTTATCGAAGTATGTGTCTCCCTGTGCCAGTCGTCACCCATGTGCATCACTAAATATCGCCCAGGGCCTCATTACCTTCGTGGCCGGGGTATTCGGCTTTCTCCTGATGCCGGCCGGCCCGTGTCAGACAGCGAGCTGGTTTCGCGGAAAACAGGGCTGGTTCTCCAAGAGGTACCTTTCGAGTGATTGCCAGTCCGCGTGGCCCTTTGACTGACATGAATCATCTAGAGAAGAGATCATTATGGTTAACAGGGTTCTGCGAGAAGACCCGGGCAAGAGTGGAATGCATAATCGCGAAGCCATCACGCCTCAGCTCCTCTGGAACAGCCTTAAAGATTTTGATCTCTGGTACGTTTGTCGAGGGGGGGGTTTCAAGTCATTTAGTCTTCTGACATTCCATCAGGCCCATCTACCTCATCGGCCTGACGTTCGAAATCCCAATGGGTCCACCGAAGCTCTACCTGACCCTGACACTGCGCAGTCTGGGCTTCGATACCTTCCAGTCCAACCTCCTCAGCATCCCCTACACCATTGGCCATAGTATTTCTCTCCGTCTCAATTCTCCTAACCCTGACCACTGCTGACCCAATTAGTGATCATGATGCTGGGCCTCACCTACATCGGCGAGATTTTCAAAGAGCTCTCCTTCGTGTCTATGATCGGCCAAGTCTGGGCCCTGCCGCTACTCATCTTCCTCAACATCGTCAACACCGACGAGATCAACAGGTGGCTCTTCTATTTCGTCATCATCCTCTTGTTGATGTATCCCAACCGTAAGCACAAAGTGTCCTGCTGTAGAGACGTCCAGTGTTAACCGCGCCCGCAGCCCATCCGATCCAAGTAGGCTGGAACTCGCGCAACTCGGGCTCAGTCCGGTCCAGAACAGTCTCAGCGGCGTGCTACAACATGTTTGTGCAAGGCAGCGGGATCATTTCGTCAAACATCTACAGAGAAGGTATGTTTTCAAATAGGATAGGACATGGCTGAAGAGGGACTCTGGATTACTGACCCCTCACAGACGATGCACCGCTGTACAAGCGCGGCAACCGTTGGCTTCTGGCGATTGCGTGCGGAAATATCGCGCTCTACCTATCCGTCAAGGCGTACTACGTATGGCGAAACAAGCAACGCGACAGGAGGTGGAGCGCGATGACTGAGGATGAAAGGCTCGATTATCTCTCGACAACAACGGATGAGGGCAACAAGAGACTGGACTTCCGATTCGCGCATTAGGGATCAAGTCTGAGATTTCTCAGGATGAAGCAATGGCAGCGCCACAAAGGACCAGTGGCATATGACCAATGAACGACGCAACGATTACACACGACATGGAATGCGGACGGAGCATTTTGGCACATCATAGCATTAGACAGCAAGTCGAGCGCTTGGTTGATTGATGATAATAGAAGATTCAAATGCAGTATGCGTGCCGCGGAAGGCGGACCAATATATCTAGGGTATTTACATCTATCCTCAGACAAAACAAGACGCGAACTATGTACAGCCCAAATGTGCAATATCCATTATCTTCCTCCAACGCTCGATGTGTCATACTGATTGCCCAATCTCCAACCAGTATCTCGCGTCCAACGGGGCTTCCGTATTTTACATAACGAACGCAATCACACCTAGCACTGCGCCAACTAGAAGTGTTAAGCCACCTGATCCAAGCTTGTTCGCCGCGTCCACTTCGACTGGAATGTCGGTATTAGTCGGGAAAGTGACAGGCGCAGTCTGCGTTCCATTAATGATTGAGGTGAAAGTAGGGATGGCGGGGGGAGGCGGCACGACTCGAGAGGGCGTCGGTGATGGAGGTTGTGGCACGGGCTCCTCCGGAGCAGGGTAGTCAGGGGTAGGCTGCCCGGGCGTGACGGGTTCTTCAGGAGTAGGCTGCTCAGGTGTAGGGTTTTCAGGAGTGGGCTGCTCAGGAGTGGGCTGCTCAGGAGTGGGCTCCTCTGGAGTAGGTTGCTCTGGAGTAGGCTGCTCAGGAGTAGGGTTTTCAGGAGTGGGCTGCTCAGGAGTGGGCTGCTCAGGCGTGGGCTGCTCAGGGACAGGTGTCTCCGGAATGGGCTCCTCGGGAGCGGGGTATTCGGGGGTCGGCTGCTCGGGGGTTACAGGTACCACCGGGGTTGGCTCCTCGGGAGTCGCAGGCACCTCTGGAGTTGGCTCTCCAGGCGTCACGGGCTCTTCGGGCGTGGGTTGCTCTGGGGTAGGCTCAACGGGGGTGGGCTGTTCAGGAATAGGCTGCTCGGGAGTGGGTTCCTCGGGCTTTGGCTCCTCAGGTGTAGGCTCCCCGGTTGGCTCGAAGACCACTACCGGCGTCGTTGTCGTGATGGTCTCCTCCTCAATCGTAGTCGACGGCTGGCCCACAGGGCAGTTAGTAACCTCAGGGGCACAGGAGGTGATGGTGTTAACGATGGTCTTGGAGACGACGACTGTGGTCGCCACATCGATAACAGGACAGACTGTAGTCGTAACGCCGACAACCTCCGTAATTGTTGATCCAAGCTTTCCGGGACAGTCAGCGGCGGCCTCAGGCGGGCAAGAAGTGATGGTCGAGATGCGAGTCTCGGAGATGGTGAGGGTCGTCAGTCGTTCGATCGTGATGGTCGGGGTAGGTGCTTCGGACACGGGTACCTCCGGCACCTGAGAGGTAGGCTCCTCGGGTGTGGGCTCCTCGGGGGTGGGCTCTTCTGGTGCAGGCTTCTCAGACTCCACAGGCACCTCAGGCACCTGAGAGGTAGGCTCCTCAGGAGTGGGTTCCTTCGGGGTTGGTTCCTCAGGGGTAGGATACTCGGGTACTTCTGGCTTGCCGGGCTCCTCGGGGGTAGGAACCTCTGGCGTGGGCTGTTCAGGGGTTGGAGCCTCAGGCGTGGGCTCGGCGGGCGTCGGCACCTCGGGCGTCGGCTCAGCCACTGGCACCGACGACTCCAAAACAGGGATCGCCGTCGTCGTTGTAATGACCTCCTCCTGAATGGTCGTCGAAGGCGCGCCAGGACAATCAGGCACATCAGGAGCACACGAGGTGACAGTATTGACAATGGTCTTCGACACGGTCACGACCGTAGGCACATCGGTCACAGGGCAGACAGTCGTGGTCACAGCAATGACCTCAGTGACAACCTCGCCCACCTTGCCGGGGCATTCGGCGGCAGCCTCGGGCGGGCACGATGTGATGGTGGTGACGCGTGTCTCCGAGATGATGAGGGTCGTGAGGCGTTCACCCGATGTGATGGGTACGGAGGTAGGCACTGGAAGAACCGACTCTGAAGGCACAATCGAGATGGGCTCCGTCTCGATGGGGTAGTCTGGGACGGAGGTAGAGGCAGACTGCGCAGGCTGTCCGGAGGCGGAAGGGGTCTCGGATGCAACAGGCTGTTCGGGAGCCGAAACGGGCTCAGATGCAACAGGTTGTTCGGGGATCGAGGCGGAGGTAGACGCAATAGGCTTCTCGACGGAGACCGGCTCGGATACAACAGGCTGCTCGGGCGTCTCGGGGGGCTGTTCGTAGATTTCAGACTCGACAGGGACCTCGGGCTTGACAGGAATCGATGGCGTTCCCGGTTGCTCGTAAAAGTCGGACTCGACAGGGACCTCGGGCTCGACAGGAGTCGATGGCACCTCCTCACCCTCAGGCAGATCCGTGTACTGAGGCTTTTCGGGCGCTGTAGAAGGAACAACAACACTGGGAGCGGTGGGCTCGGCGGCGTCCGACTCGATGGCAGGCGGCAGGTACCCCCTCTTCTCATCACCAGGAGTGTAGACCTTGATAGAGCGGACCTGGAAGTAGCTGTCCTTCAGGGCTTCGGGGTTCTCCGCAATATAAGCCTGGCAGCTTGTCTGCTTTGTGGTCTCGGCACACTGGTCCCAGTGGCCCTCGTGGCCGGCAACGCCACAGAAGTTGATGTTCATGACAATTTGCGCATCAGCAAAGACCTTGCCCACCTCGCACGCGGCACTGGCAAATCGGGGCAGGCCCCAGGTCTCAGGGTTGGGGTTCTCGGCCAGGTCGGCAGGGACATTGTCATGGGTGAATGCCCAGATCTTGATGGAGTCGTCGGTCCACTCCAGGGCGTCTGGCACTCATTAGATGGAAAAAGGGACTAGCACTTCGGGGATCACTCACAGACACCGCCCTTGTCAGAGGCATAGGGGGCAGAAGGGTCAAGGCCGGCACAACCTTCGCCAGACCCCTGGCCAGGCGCATCCCCGGCACAATTGGGTTTGCCCACGTCGGCGGTCATGCCCTCGCCATCGATGCCACACTGTCCGACCTTCGCGTCAGTGTGCATAACGATACGGCTGGCCGCGTCAAGATTCCAGGCCTCGTAAATGTCAATCTCGCCACCCGAGGGCCAAGCCTGGCCAACGGTCCAAAACGCGGGCCAGGTCCCGCAGGTTGGCTTGGGAAAGTGGGAGAAGTCAGCGATGTACAGGCCCTTGTTGTACTTGACCTTGCTCTCTAGCCTGACACTGCTGCGTCCAATGCCAGTGGGGTCGAGCTTGGTCTTTGCGTCGACGCCGAGATAGAATTCGTCGCCGACTGTCTTTAGGATGCCCAGTTCCTCAGCCTCGGCACGGCCCTTGTAAGACACGTAGCCGCTCGTGGAATCGACATCATTGTAGTTTCCTGTCGAGTGATCGCTCTGGTTGACGTTAGGTTTCTGTCTTGGACGACCGGGGGTTCGCTTTGGATTCTCACCTCGAAAAGAGAAAACTTGTCAAGAAAATTGGTAGAATCATAAGTATCAGACAGTTGATAAGATTTGGCCTGCACAGCGGCAGAAAACAAAAGAGCTGACTTGGCTGCGGAAAGAAACGAGGGTGCCATGTTGGTAGTGAGCTGTTTCGAGCTTGTGTGGGAAAGCAGTGTTGTTCAGCTCCTGTACACAAAAAGGAGTGAAGTCGACGGCCAGCGGTAGTTGGTTATGTAGCACGAGTCGTCGAGACTCCGTCAACGGAGTATGTGAGAGTCAAAGTGAATGGCCAAACAAGTCTTGAAAGAATGACTGTTGGGTAAGTACACACACAAGGAAAGAAAGAGATGAAGATGGCGGACCTTGGTTGAAAGAGGAAACACAAAGAGAGGATGCAGCGGAACAAGGTCAAACAATAGAATCGTCGAGGGACATCATCATGATATATCCAGGCCACTGTCGCAAAGGCCCGCATAGGCATATTGCGCAGTGGCATCAGCGGCTGGGCCATCCAAGACGAACCAGTACCTCGGCCAGGGCGGCAGGATCCAGGGGCAGCATCTTGGCGAGGCCAAGACAGACGGCCTTGGAGAGTCGACGTCGAATCAACAGAGGGCGCAGGACCCCGAGGCCTCGACAACAAGGCAAGCTCTGGACAAAAAAGAAACGGCTCAAAGAGATGTCCAGGGGCTGCCTTCGGGTATCAAACGGCGGATGCAGACCCAAAAAGGCCGAACAACAAAAAAACGGGTCTCCCGCTGGCAGCTTTCAGGTAAACAGGGGGGCCATCCATGGACCATGGCGGTTGGCGGCTCTGGGCAGGGGTTGATGGGCAGACGACTGGCCAGAAAGGTCGTCAAAGCCGGGTTTGGTTGAGCAGAGAATAGAACACGGGGTTGGAAGACATCGTGGCGGCGGCTGATGGCGGCAAAGGGACAAAGAAGTCGGGGATCCAGGGGGGAGGGGGGGGATCGACAATGATGCGCGATGGCGGCGATTCGCTTCAGGGCGCACAGGCTAGAGCCCAGCGGTAGGGCATCGTGAAGTCATGACCTGATGGGGGACGTGGTGGTAGTCGATGAGGTTGCATTGGAGGAGGGAACATCAGATGGCAGGTCAAGCAGGTGTACATTCAACACAGCATTTTGGAGGAGGGATTGGCAAGACCCGCCCTGAGTGGTCACTCCCCAAGCTCCCCCAGGACAACCCCTGTCTGCTCAGCGCTTTCCAGGCCAATCACCCACGAGCGCCATGCAGGACCTGAGACGACCAGGGGATCCACCGCTTTGCAGTGCTGGTCTGCTCTTTCTTCACTGGGCATGTACCTACCTCCGGTACGTACCTAGATAAGGTACCTAAGGTACTCAAGGTAAGGTAGCTTGGCAGGTACCATGTAGTAGGTAGGCAGGTAGGGAAGGAGGCCCAGAACAACGAGGAAGCGCCGGGAGGCGACGCGCCTTCACAGCGCTTTGCCCTTGCTGCTCCTTTGTCCTTCACGGATGGGATGCGCAGATTGGGTTCCATCTGCACTGCTTCCACAAGAAGAAAGCAGTGCATAGTAACCTTGAACTCGGTCGATCACTTCACCACGCCACGCCGTTGCTGCACATGACGAGGCGGCAAGATAAGGATCCATAGGTTGGCAAGCTACCGTCTGCCCAGGGCTACCGTCGTTTCAAGCAGAGACCCCTCTCGGAGCTTACTGTCTGCATCAGGAACGGACAAAGTCCTGTGTTGCTTTTTTGCCAGAAATTTCCTTTGCCGCTTACACCAGGCATTCCAGCGTACCCAAGGCCAACACAATGCGCTCTGCCACGACCCCAAATTCGTCATCTGGGACCTCTCTTGCACGTGGTATATTTGCTTTGTATGGGCACCTACCCTCCTCACAGCCCACCTACCGCAGCTCAGTCTGCCTATGGTCCACAGCCAGGACCATTCATGTCCACGTCCAGGTCGCTGCCTTCGTGGCCTTCAACGTAGGGTAGCTCATTGTCCCCCCACCCAATCTGATCCCACAATCACGCATCGACTTGGCGCAAAGCCCATTCCACGGCACTCTTGACGTCCTTCGTAATGTGTGTTGGCTGGTGCACAGGCTTCGTGCCGGCGGCGAACACGCCCGACTCGACGAGGATGCTTTCCCATTTATAACCCTTGCGCGACTGGAAGCTGTTGGCACCAGCAATATCACTTTCGGGGTTGTCGCCTATCATGAAGACGGTCTCAATCGTGTATGCCGCGGTCGATTTCCTTTTCTGCTCGAGTTGCTCGTTCCAGGCCTCCAGCGCATTTTCACCGTAGACATATGTCGCCTCCGTCGGCTTGCCGACCACCGTGAAGTCGAGCTGGGCCAAGCCCCGTGTCTTGTAGGCCCAAAGACCGCACAAGGCCTCGCGGAAAGCGCCCTGGGCTAAGCGCGGCTGCGCGTGCTGCGTGGCCCATTCAAAGTCCGGGTTGCTGAAGAAAAGCCTGGGCTGGCCGTCCTGGAGGTAGCCAGCATTCGGCAGGGTGGCGTCGCCGTTCTTCGGGGACCGGGTCCCAACGATGCCGTCGACAGACAGGAGCAGATCGAGGATGACCTGAAGATCGAGGCACCAGTCTCGGGGTGAGTTCCAAACAAGAATCGCGTGTATGCGGAGCAGGCCATCGTCGCTATCGCCACTTTCGCTGCCATCAGTGCTGTTGTCGAGCGGAGAAACCGGGTCCTTCCTTCCGTGCTTGCTGTGATGGTCTCGAGTCATCTCCGGGAACGGGTGAATGTGCTCGTGGTCCGTGTACAGATCAGAGGAAGTCACGACCTTTCGGAAACCATAGGCATGCGCGAGGTTTCGAACATTGTCGCTGTGGCCGCCCAGGGCGAGGATTGTCCTCTCGCCATACTCTGGGACCAACGCTTGATAGGGTGTGTGGCTTTGGATAAACTGATTCTCGTCAAGCTCGTCAAGTCCCAATCTCACGCGCAGCTTCTCCACATGCGCTTCTTCTGTCAGTCCTCCTCCGTTGGTCAAGAAGATGAAGGGGATATTGCGGGCCTGTAGAACTTGGAGAGCCTCTTTGGCCCCGGGTAAAGGCTGTGACCCCTTGGACAGCACACCGTCGATGTCAAAAACAAAGGCAGCCATGTTGGCGTATGTGAACGATAGTGGCGGGATAATCTATTCCTGGAAGAAAGGCGGAGTTTGGCATGGCATGAAGTATGTCGCGAGTGCAGTCAGTGTTGTGCGTGTACTTGAGAGAGGGGTGTGATAGTTGCATAAAGGCCCTGGCAATACATAGGGCGCAGCCATGAGGTGAATTACATGGGCAGGTGAATCGAAAGGAGTGAATGGGAAAGAGCGCATTGACAGGGGTGCATTGAAGGTCGATGAGCCATTGTCGATATCCTTAATTCGGACGGTAGTTGAATTGAAGCAGACGGTGGGCCATATCTCACTCGGTGAATGCAATGACCTTCGCACAGGGCTCATAATCAAAAGCGACACATGGCCGGCGAAAACGGGGAGCAGCACAAGTTATTTCAGGGGGCATCGCAAAATAATTTCTGCCTTGAACCAAGCTGTCGGCACCGCCGGTTCTTCCCGATGATACCGATGATGTGATGTACTGACCAATGCGGCAGGCTGATTTGCGCCATTCAACCAAATGGGAATTACCCAGCAGAGTCGCCCACAGCTCTTCGATTGACACGGCTTCTGTCGTGTTTGCCCTCAGCCCATAGCACATAGCAAGCTTCCCTGGTGTTGTTCGCGTTCATCACTTGGCAAATATAGGCATGGCTCGCTGTTAGCATCGATGGCAATGCCGCGACGCAAGCAAGGAGACCTATTGCTCGTATCATCAGGCTACTTCGACAACGGCTTACCTGTTGGAGACACGGGTCATAGAATCTGCGATGTGATAAGCTCCCTTGAGGAACAGTTGTAGTGATATTGTTCCAACACGCCAGTAACACCATATTATCCCCAGGTACCACCGCCTCCAGACCGTCCCCCCTTCTTCTGCGCACTGAGACGCCAATCGTCCTCCCCGGCAAATTTGTTGTACAGCGGCTGGATCCTCTCCGCCTTCTTCCTCTTCGACAGCTTGTCCGTCGGCGCCACCTTGAAGAACGTCGGTGCCGCCTCCACTAGCCACTTGGGCTCAATAGATGTCGAGCAATGCATGTACTCTTTCGTCGTGAGTACCAGCGTGTGATAAATCACCCACTCTGCTTGCTTGCCGAACAAGGCCGAGCTCGGGTGCAGGTAAACCGGCGTCTGCTCAGTGAGCGTCTTGTACCCCTCCTGCGGATCCTTGCGCGCGGCGTTGCGAAAGAAGCCCGAGCAGAGCGCCTGTCGGACTTTCTGTGTATTGCGTCCGCAGCTGACGACAGGGTGGCGGTATCGGTCCATAATCTTGACAAGCTGATCGTGGACATCTTTGGCTCGCTTCATTGAGCGGGCCTGGATGAAGTTTTCGAAGCACCAGGGACTTGAGTAGCTCGACTGCTTCCAGGAGTTGTAGACGTTGAGGAGGGTCAGGTGGTCGCCCGCGGGGTCGTGGAACTTGGCCTTCTTTTGATCGGCTTGTGTCTGCTTCTCCTTGGGACGGTAAAACACGTTGGGCAGGTTGAGCATTGCGACGATGATGAGCATCTCGGCTGAGCAGTTCATGTCGATGGACATGATGAGGACCTTCGCAAGCGAAGGCTCCATGGGGAAGTCGGCCATTTTGCGGCCGAGACGTGTCAGAAGACCTTCGTCGTCTAGCGCACTAAGCGCATACAGCTCTTCAAGAGCCGTCAACATGGTGTTGATTGGAGGTGGGTCCATAAAGTCAAAATGCAGCAAGTCGTTGATGCCCATAGCCTTGAGCATGAGAATCGTGTGTGACAAGTTTTGACGCTGGATTTCGGGAATCGTTGTGGGCAGCATCTCAGATTGATAGGCTGCTTCGGTGTACAGACGGAAGCACTTGCCGGGGCCGGTACGCCCTGCTCGGCCAGCTCTCTGGTTGGCCTGAGCCTGTGAAATAGGGGTGACGACAAGAGAGTCCATGCCGAGTTTGGGGTCGTAGGCGTTCTGCTTGACAAATCCGGGGTCAACGACAAAGTAGATATTGTCGATGGTGATGGATGTCTCAGCGATGTTGGTGGCGATGACGACCTTCCGGCAGCCCGGCGGTGCCGGATCGAAAATGCGACTCTGCATCTCGTTCGGCAAAGCTGAATAAACGGGAAGGATCAGCAGCTCAGGTACATTTGGCCCTAGAGCTTTCATCCGCTCGAACAGAATCTCGCACGATGTGTCGATTTCCTCCTGTCCAGTTAAAAATAGCAAGATGTCTCCAGGCGGCTCAGTGAGGTGAATCTGCATCACTGTGACCAGAGCTGCGTCGAGGTAGTCGGATTCCGGTTCGCGAGAATACAAGACTTCGACGGGGAAGGTTCGACCAGGGATCGTAAAGATGGGACACCCGTTGAAGTACGAGGAGAATTTATCGGCGTCGAGAGTTGCTGATGTGGCAATGACCTTCAGGTCCTTGCGGCGGGCCATCGTCTTCTTCAGCAGAGCAAACAACACATCAGTCGAGATGGTACGTTCGTGCGCCTCGTCAAGCATGATGACCGAGTACCGCTTGAGATCGGGGTCGACTAAGATCTCACGCTGAAGCATACCATCCGTCATGTACTTGATCCTCGTTGCCGGGCTGGTCCGGTCCTCAAATCGAATGGTGTAGCCAACCTCTTCGCCCAAGGGGCAGCCGACTTCTTCCGCCACACGTTTGGCGACAGACATGGCAGCCACACGACGCGGTTGCGTACATCCAATGACACCATGATTGGCGAAACCACCTTCAGCTAGATATTGTGTGAGCTGAGTAGTCTTGCCAGAGCCTGTCTCTCCAATGACAACCATGACCTGGTGGTCGTTGACGGCGTCGAGAAACTTTTGGCGGAAAGCAAAGACAGGCAGAGACTCCCGCTGCTGCTTCATGCTCATGTCTGTCCTCTTTCCAAACGATTGGTCTTTGGGCTGCACAGCACGCTTCCATTCCGGGACGGCATCGGGCTTGGGCGCTTGCTGTCTCGCGTTTCTCATGTCGCTGGCAAACTTGCGCTTGTCGGGGTCGGCCATGGGGTCGTTCCATTGTGTAGAGAGATCAACCTTGTTCTCCTCTTGTGCTGCAGCCTCTGCTTCTTGCTGCTTCAACTCCTTCCGTTCCTTGGCGAGTGCAGTGCCTGACATGGCTGCGCGATTCATCGAGCCATCCGGTGCTTTCACGACGCGAATCGGCGACAGCTCAAGAGACTGCTTCGTCTGTCCGGCCAGGAACGGGGGCTCTTCCTCGCGAACCTCGATATCGACCTCCTCCTCGAGCTCCATCTCGCCATCACCACGCAACGTTGCATTGTAGTCTTCGTTGAGGTCGGGGTAGTCAGAGGCCTTTGCGACGCCTGATGCGATCAGTTGCCGGATCTCCCACCTTTCAGGTGAAGTCATCCTCTTCTTCTGCCGCTGCGGCCGTTGATTTGGTGGTGGCATGACCCCAGCGTCGAACATGTTGCCATTCCTGTCTCCTCCTCCGCCTCCCAAGGCTTCCATGTTGGCGCCGGATGATATCCTTGCTTGTGGAACAAGGTCCATTCCTGTCTCCTGGTCGACCTGCTTCATCGAAAGCCCTATTCGATTGCCATCGACGCTGATGACCTTGACCCAGACCGGCTGGTCTCGGCTGAGGATATCGGACGGGTGGTTGACCCGTTGCTCTGAGATCTGCGAAACGTGCACCAGCCCATCCGACTTGCCACGAACGCCTTGAAGGTTGACAAAGGCTCCGAAATCTTTGACGCCGGTGACCCGCCCGGGATACACCTTTTGGATCTGCGGCGCATCGTCCAGCTCTGTAGGGGGCGGCCTCCGCAGCCTGTCGTCGTCCTCGTAGTCGTTGTAGTCGCGCTCCCGCCTCCTGCTTCTCCTCTGCTTGAGCGCAGGGCCATGCTCGTCGTCGAGGGACCTCGATCTTGACCGCCGCCGCCTCCGCCTCTCCTTTGATCTCGACCTGTCTCGCCTCTTGCGTCGGGATTCGCGGTCGTCCTCGGGGCTGCGACTCCTCTTCCTCGCCGACGTCTTCTCCTGCCGCGCGCGGCCCTCGAGCCCCTCCAGCAGCGCAAACGTGTCGTCGAAAGCATCTGCGCCGACCTCCTTGTCGGGGACGGCCAGGCCCTTGAAGATCTGCTCCTTCTCCTCTGCGCTGCGGTGGTGGTGGTGCTGCTGCGCGTCGTCTGCGCCGTTCGTCTTCTTGCCCTTGAGCTTCGGGTGCATGGCCAGCACGAGGCGGTCGATGCTCTCGACGAAGCTGGGCGGGAAGTCGGCGCCCAGGCTGGCGAGCTTCTTCTGGAAGCCGGCGAGGCCCGTGTCGGCGCACTCGACGCGCTGGGCGATGATGAACTCGGCGAGGGTCTTGTCGGAGACGCCCATGTGGTTCTGCAGTTCCGATGTGACCTTGGAGACGAGCGACAGGAGCTCGAGCTCCAAAAGGTCGTCCATGGCGGGCCGTTGAAGGGCGACACAGCGCTCTCTGGAAAGTGCGTGATGAGTTGGTGGTTTTGGCGAGATCCAACAAAAAGTTAGAGGATTGCGGCGATGAAGCGTAAAGAAAACCAGACTGGGCAACTTCATGCGCGACGCCGCGAGTGACGAATGGTGGGTCCCAAAGGCCATGATACACCAATCAATGGTAGGCACTTCGGTGAGGAACGGTAGGCATCGGTGTGACCTCTCTACCTGTTCTTACTTCATGTACGAAATCTCGAGGCGCCACCCTTTAATGAATAGGACTTTGAGCCGTTGCATAAGGGAGAAAAACGTTCACAAATATTTCAAGTCCGTCTTGAAATAATTTTATTGAATGCAAGCAAACGCCGCGCCGTATCAGCAGCAAAACCAAACGCCCTGCCACCCAGCTCCCTCCGGCCTGGTCCTCGTTGAGTGGACTGCCCAAGTCCAATGCTGTATTCCTCCGGGGTATTTCATGAACCCATGATGCAAAGACCTCTCTCGGCCTGTGTACTAATCATTCATCATTGGTCAACCTTTTGTGGCCAACAGTTGCATGTCCTATGCGCTGCGATTCTATGCGGCCCCCAGGGCTCTTCACGTCATGCCGCCAGCTCTTCGAAGATCTTGATGAGGCTCCGCACGCCCACCAGCGCATTCTCGTCAGGACCCAAGCCAGGGGTCCACTGCGCGTGGGCAAAGTCGATGAGTTTGAGCTCGAAGATCTTCGGCAGAGAGGGGCCGTCATCCTCGTCGTCACTGTCGTCATTTTCGTCGCCTTGCACAATATCTTCAACCATCAGCTCGATCCCGCTATCTACGCGGAAGGTGGTTCTACCGAAATTATCGTCCTTCCGGCCCGTGCGGTTCTCGACGTGGTCGACAGCGGAATTGTTGGCCTCGATGGCTTCGCGCAGCTTGTCGCCATCGCCTTCGAAGACAAAGAGAAGACTAGAGGAGTACATCCTGCTCTCGTGTACCGACAGCACCTCCTCAACATTGTGCAGCTCGCGAACAAAGGCGTGACAGACAGCCTTGCCGAGTTCCTCGTCTATGCCAGCGTCTGGGTTGAACACGAATTTACGGAACGCGTCGACGACATTGTCAGTGTTGACGCTGTCGCGGCCGAAGTCCTTGTCGTAGATTTTGTAGTCCTCTTCGTTGAGTTCAGCCTTGTCGGGCGAGCCGCGATAGGCACGCATTCCCGCGATGCGAAATCCCAAGGAACCATGCGTCGTCTCGGAAGCAATCTTGTCAAATCTTGTCTTCTTCTGCTGTGGCGCATCATCGGCCCAAAGCCGGCGGCCGAGCTTCGCGTCGAGAATGTTGGCGTGCGTGAAGCCGCTCGAGGCGTTCTCGAGCACTACAGCCTGGTCGGTCTTGATCTTTTGCGTCTTGTTTGGTATCCACGTAATGCCGTCGTTGATTGCGGGTGCTGGGTCTGCCACGGGAATCTGTGCCTGGGCTTGGACAGCCTCGATAACCTTGGCTTGGACGTCGGGGTCAGCCACAAGACCTGGAATGCCGTCGTCGGCAGAACTAAGCTCAGCAGGGTCGCTGAGGCTCAGAGTGCCGAAGAAAAGGGGCATGAGCTCTGCAAATTCGGGGTAGCGGGCATTGGCAGATTGGTAAAATTCAACCTCGAGTTGCGTGCAGGGCTTGATGAAGAGCTCGCCGTCGGCATCGCACATTGTTCCGGCACTAGCAAGAGAGGTCAATTTGCGTGTGTTTCGAAAGAGCGCATGTTGCGACAAGATGCGCCGAACCGACTTACTGTCCTGCCACAGCGTGGGTACAATCGACGAGTTCAGACCGAGCTGGAATCTCCTTCTTCTCCCTTTTCTTTCCCGCCATTGTCAAACTGCGGTTTTCCTGAAGTGATCGCGACTACTTTCTAACGTATTTGCATATCGAGGGGGGCGGTATTGAGGAGGCGCAATGTTGGGTAGCCACAAGAGGCAGGATCGAGCGGTCGCACTATTGTGAATGTAGGCGGCGCATAGGTCGGTGAAGAATGGAGTCGGAACCTGCAATGCGTCGACAGGACCAGGTTCGCAGGAAGCGTTGCAGGCGAGAATCTTTGCAGCCTACAAATGGTGGCGATCCGAACAGGCGACAGGACGACGAAGGAATGACTGAGTCTTTAAGGAGAGTGAGATTTGGGCGCGGGCGCAGGCGCTGGCGATGATTCAGGGTTGCGCAGTTGGGTTCGCTTGTCGTTTGCCGCTGGTCATTGGGTTGGACGGGGATTGTATTGACATGGGCTGGCGGAGTTCAGGTCGGGAACAGGGGACCCTGACTTGCCTGACCACCTGGGCCTGAATGTTGGTGCGGAACGCAAGAGGAGGGGGGCTTGGGGGGCGAGTGGGAGGGAACCAGCGGAAGGGTAGAGAGGAGTGACCATTGGGTCTCGGTAGAGAGAGGGGTGGTGGGTTCGACAAGAAGGAACGGCATGGCATTCCACAACGCCACAGCGGATGAATGGGCAAAAGTGCCAAGATGATCTCCAATCCACTGAAGGACACTCAAGACGCTGGGAGACGCTGAAGGCGCTGGTACATGTACACTGCCTTCTCAGCCACGATCGCTATCACACCCATGCCTGCACCTGCCGTGATTGCCGTCGTACCCCGTCCAGGCCGGGGGGGGGGGGGGGCCGAAGTACAAGGTATGAGGCACACTGATGGGCATTCCTCGTTGCGCTTCCTTCCCAGGCCCTTGTCATGCCTGTGATCCTCTTGGGGGCACCAACTGGAAGAAAAGGGAGGTATTCTCAGGTGGCACAGAGTGATCTGAGACGGGCTTCTCTCACATGGCCGCTCCAGTTGGTCATTCAGCACATATTTATCACCTCTCATATATGTTGGACGATGTCAAGACTTTTGTTCCACGTTGCACTCGATCGCCCGAGAAGTCACGCTTGGCCATGGTGATCGGTTGAACCAAGTTTACTGTATCTATTTGGCAAAGAGACTTTGTTCACTGTGATCGGGGCCATCCCACATATCAGCATGGCCCAAAGACACACACAAACAAGCATAGGTACGAAAGGGCTGGAGTGCCCACAAAAAGGGACTTGTGCATACAGCTACAGCTCCTATGCTTGGATCTTTGACTCCCGTCCTATCCTCTGACGTGGCAGTGAGGTCTCTCGCGATCGCGGTCGGATTCGCTTGTCATCGCTTTTGTCAATCCAACCCCCCCTCCATTATCATCCCGCGTCATACGCGAAGTTTGCATTTGCCCCGTTGCCCAAGCGCCTTGGACACTTTGCATATGCGGAACAAAACCAATGTGAGGTGATCAGGTCGGCGCCCACTCTGCGCCCGACGGACTATGTCACGACGCCCCTTCTGCTCCGCCCCGACTTCGCCCGCCTGAGTTTTACCTGAGGTACACATGCAGTACAGATGTGTCAACCAATATTTGACCAGATCCATTGTGTCAATAGCTGGATGCTTCATTTCTACTCAGACTATATCGGTCGCTGACAAATTGACTGTCGTGGAGAAGCAAGAAACAGTTACCGTCCTCCGTCCTACTCGAAATGTATATCAAGCAAGAAATATGAAATCGATGCTCGAGTACCCAAGATACTTAGGTAGGTAGGTATCATAGGTACCTAGGTGAGGTAGGTAGCTTGCCCATCTATCCCGCTTGAAACAGGCGCCAATTTGTGATTCGCAATGCCTGTCCTTCTGTTTGATTCTTTCCTCTCGTTTGCCACATTAGATTCCCTTGCAGTATCAGGCCCGTTGTTGGCGTAGGGCAGGAGCAACACCTGAGTAATAAGTCTCTTCCAAAAACGAGACCTGACCCTGCACAAGCACCAAGCCAGAGATATTTCTCCATTTACGTCGTCTCTCAAGAATCACGCAGCGCGAGGGCCTCAATTTGACCGACTCTTGACTGCCACTACCACACATGGTGCGCTACCTTAGCATTCTGCAGCCACTTACACCAACCCTGCCAACAACATGGCGCAGCTTCCCAACACAGGTGGCCTAAAATTTGGCCAGGGCCGCTTTGCCGACATCATTGAGTCTGAGCATGTCGTTGGTGAGGTGGAAGGAACCAACAAGAAGAACAGGAGCAAATCAGGTTCTGCTAGAGGCCCAACAGGTCTCCCCAAGAGTCGTGGAACCGGCTTTGAAAGTAAGGCACTGGATATCAAGTCTCCTTGGGAGGCATGACAGAGCTGACGAGGGCCAGCATACTACGCCGATCCGCCTGTCACGCCTGATGAAGCCCGAGAAGAAGCTGAAGAGCTCTATCCACCGTATGTCTCCAACCTCCTTGACCTTGATCGAAGAAAAAATAACTGATTATTCTAGGCACCGCCCGTTCGTTGAGTAAGACAATCTATTGCAGACATGAATTGAGCGTGACGCTGACAAGATAGCCGCATTGAGGAATGCATCCAGCGTTTCCGTGCCCGCCGTCGTCTCCACTCAGAGATGACAACCTACTTCGACGCTTACCTATTTCTCGGGGGGATCGACACTGCGCAACGTCAGTTCACTGGATCTGGTTCGAACTCGAAGACCAATCCCGACTTCCAGGATATGGACACAGATGAAGTACGCTGCGCCACTGCCGTGGACATGATCCATCGCGACAAAAATTCCACATTTTACAACGAAGCCGAACCTGAGCGCTGGGAGATTGACTTCACTGGCATCGTCACCGGGTACTTGTCCGAAGCAGTGCCGAGGCTCACGGGCCAGAACTATACGGCCATGAACACGGCCGTCGCCGTGGTTGAGAACTTCCTCCGTTACATCCTTCATCACGGCGTTTGCCCCGAATACGACGATGATGTCCGAAGTGCACTAGCTCAATGCCTGAAAGCACGCGTTGACTTGCCCAAGGCTCACCATGCATTGATCGCATTTCCCGGTGAGTTCGGCCTCGCGGCTGCCGAGCTATTCTGTGACGACTACGGTTTTTTCCCGAGGGAATCCATGGGTTCTTTCAAGCGAGCTGAAGAATTTGACGCAAGGATCGTCTTCGCTACTGGAATCTTGCTTGCCGGTACTGACACCCAGGTTGCGAAGTTACTTGATGCCGGTAGAGAGTTCGAATCCGTCAGGGTCTTCAAAGAGGAGGATTATGACCTCGAAGTCATCTCTGTCAACCGGCCGTCACAGGAAGTCCGCCAGCAGTACAAATCCGTCTGCCTGCTTCCAAGTCATCCAGCTCTTAAGCCCATAGGCACAGCCATAGTCAAGCCGTGCGTGATTGAGGACGGCTATGATGTTGGCATTCTGGCTGCCGCACAGGAACTCGACAAGACAGAGCGTGAAATACTGCTGGACGACGACATTTTGTACTTTCTGCAGCCCAGCATGAAAATACGAGCCACGGTGTGCGAGCTCACCATGGGTGTTACCTTCATCAAGTCGGTGGCTGATGTGCTGGTGCCGTGGTTCGTGTTCCTGCCGCAAACACTCATGCGTAGGTTTTGCGAGCCGCGAGTGAATGATCGACCTGCACCATCTGCGACGGAACCTGGTGCAGCAGATGACGACGCGGAGAATGAAGAATAATACACACAAGTCAGTCATGCGATGGTCGTGCTGGCGCAAGGGGAGATAAACCAAAGTGGGGGAGTCGGACGTTGGAGAGGCACACATCCGTAAGCCCAGCAAGGCAGGTAGGTAGTTTCCGGTGCGAGATTGAAAACAGGCTCCTCGATTTTCCGACAATGTTCAACAAGCGTTCATTGCGAGAATATGTGATGAATGATTAACTATACGATCCCTTGCCACAAAAGCCAAAAAACAACCTTATTCCTAACGCCCCCGGATAAACGAGTGTCTCAAACAAAATCATACAAGTCTCCCAAGCGAGGCAGCAGAGCTAACCAAACAGCAAGATCAAGCACGCAAAATCGCAGCAGCGCAGCAAAGCCGACCGGAAAACCGCTCCGCTACTGCTGCCGCTCTTGCTGTCAGACGTTCTAGTCATGAGTCTGGACCTTGTTGTCGCCCTGGGCCACAACAGCGGCGTAGCTGGGCGGCGCGGCGCCGTCGCTGCTACCCTCGCCGCCGTTTCCATGCTGCTGCTGCTGGCTCGAGTTGCCGGCGGTGCCGTAGCTGAGGTTGTTGTGGTTCTGCTGGGGCTGGGGCTGGCCCTTGTGCGGGCGGGCCTGCTGCTGGGGCTGACGTCCGTCGCCGTGGACGAAGACGTAGGTCACGCGGCCGCCCTCGCGGTCATGCTGGGGGAGGGAGTCGTATTCGCTGGCGGGCTCGGGGTATTGGACAATGATGTACCAGGCGTGGATGAGGCCGGGGATCTGGGGCCGTGTTAGTGGGGGATGGTTCGGTGGCTGGGGTCGCCGTGAGGGAACGTACGAAGCCGAGGACGCAGAGGAGAATGTTGATGATGGAGTCTGCTGAGCAGATGCCACGCTTCACCCAGACTGCGGAGGTTTTAGTGAGGGTTCAAGAGATATTTCATGGATTTGGCGAGGGATCAGGCAGCAGTTATTGGGGCAAGACGTACCAGGTAGTGGGGGGAAGAGGACGGCCAGAAAGCCAAGGAAGATGTCGGCGGAGCACATTGTGGAGGGTTTTCGGATGTGGTGAACGGGTGAGTAGGCGGTCTAGCGGTTCACTTGTGTTTGTAGAGGAGAGAATGAACAAGTGCAGTGCAGGTGATTGTGGTTTCGAGGTCGCAAGGTGAGGATGGTGGTCTGGATATGGAGAAGTAGAGTGACGTCTTGGGAGCCTGGAGTGGGCGTCCGTGACCCAAGATGGACCAAATGCACTGCCATTTGCCCCAGAGGGAGCCAGTGGCTTGGGCGCTGTCAGCGAGGGGTGCGTAATGGACCCCGTGACGTACCTTACGTTCTGTGCGTGAGAGGTCTTTGATTGGGCTGTGCGGGTGAACCTCGGATGTCCCTGAAGATCCATCCAGGCACCCCCACCAGACACATGCAGGTGCGTAATGGCTGCTCAAGCAAGCTGTATGCCAGCTTTATGCTAGGGATCCATTCTATATAGCTACCGAAGCTTGCTTCTAGACCGCACACCCCAAGCTACTGTCTGTCGTAGCTTAGTAGCGACCATGTCTATTCCAGGACTTGGCCTGGAAACCTTCGCTGCTCAGGTATGTCTCGCGTCCCAAGACTTGCATTTGTCTTCTTCTGACTGCTCGACAGCCAGCAGCTCCCACCGGCGCCTCCACTACTCGGGTCATCAAGCTCGACCAGCTGTCTGAATGGCGATTCGAGGTTGGCTTCAGCTCCGAAGTCGAAGTGAAGCTTGTTGCCGGCGTTGCAGAAAAAGATGGCACGGAGCTCGCCGCACACCACGTCTATCGCTTCAGCGGTGTCAAGACGAAAATCCTCACATTCATGGGCTGCCAGCTCGAAGTTACTGGCACCTGCGATGACGAGTTCCTCGCAGACTTTCCGAAACCTACCGACTCACCGATGAATTCTTACCTCAATCTCCACTTCAAACTACATGCTCTTCGACAGCATGCGGCAGCGGCGAAAGCAGAAGGACCGCGCGTTATGATCTGCGGGCCTCCGAACACAGGCAAGACAAGTGTGGCGCGGACATTGACAAGCTACGCTACGCGACTGGAGGGACAACCTTTGATGGTCAACATGGATCCCAAAGAGGGCATGCTGTCTCTGCCAGGCACACTGAGTGCCAGCGCTCTGGCTTCCATCCTGGATATCGAGGCTGTAGACGGATGGGGCACCACGCCCACCAGCGGGCCCAGTCAGGTACCTGTCAAGCTACCTCTAGCATTCTACTACGGACGAACAAGCCCGGCCGAAGACCCTAAGAAATACCTTGAACTCGTAAGCCGCTTGGCAGGCTCTGTGACTTCTAGATTCACCCAAGATCCCGACGTCAAGAGCTCTGGCATGATCATCGACACGCCTAGCATGGATGAAAAGAGTAAAGCCAGCATGGATGTTCTCGTGCATATTGCCGAAGAGCTATCGGGTGAGTTGTTTGTGTGCTAGATAAAAGGAGCAGGGTTGTTGACACTTGGCAGCAAACATCATCCTCGTATTGGGTTCTTCACGCGTCAACACAGAGCTGAGCAGGCGGTTCGCCAATGAACGTACCGGCCTCGGAGAACAAATCCATGTTATTCATCTCGACAGATCCGAGGGAGTGGCCACACGAGATGAAGGGTACATGCAACAAGCATGTGAGGCTTCGATCAGAGAGTACTTTTTCGGCAACATTGGGCGAACTCTTAGTCCTGCGACTCAGCAGGTCGATTTTGACAGCCTCACCATTTACAGGCTGGGTGACTGTAAGTTTGGCCCCGTGCTCTGTGTTTGCAACCACGACAGCAAGGTACATCGCATCGCTTACTAACATGCCCCAGACTCGGTGTACGGCAACGGAGACGAGGGCCTCATGCTGTCCGAGCCATCAGGCCTCATGGCACATTGGACTTTAGCCGTCATGTACGCCTCTACAAAGGATTCGCCTGAGACCATTCGCAACGCGAACGTCATGGGGTATGTTTACGTCGCCGAAGTTGACAAAGAGAGGCGCAAAATGAAAGTTCTCGCGCCAGTCAGCGGTCGACTGGGTGATCGCCCTCTGCTCTGGGGCAAGTGGCCGGAACCATTCGTCAACTTGTTGGGTTAGGCCGCCCTTATCCAAAATATCCCACCTACGTACACCAAACAACAGTCCGCGGCTCAAAGGAGGCTGGACGCCAAGCAAATTCTTGACGCGCTTATAAGACACGACTTGTAAGTCCACCTAATTTGGAGCTATAGATGAAGTCTGATGATGTGAGGGAGCTGATTTGGTGCTAGTAACGAATAGCCATGCGATTATGATGCTCTGAGCCCCATAGTACCATGTAAACCCGGAAGCCTTTCATTACCAGTGGTCAAAAGGCTTTGCCTTGGAATTCATGCAATTATGTTCCTGCCGTGCCGCGTCGGATTCGTCGCAGCTGGAATAGGCTGATCAATAACGACCATGTGATGCGTCTGGTCACATCTGCGGATCACGAAAGAAGTTCTCTTTCGGTGTCGTCAAGATTTCGCAGCTGCAACTGCACCCAGACGGATACGAGGTCCAGAAAAAAGCGCTCTGATAGCCTGGAGCTCTATCATGGAAATTCATATCCTACGTTCGCGCATCCGCACAATCTTTCAACTGCTGGTCGTCATCCATCATGCGCCACATCCTACGCAAGCTGGGCTGCAGCGGCAGCGAGTTCTTCTATGCCCAGGCGGATGGCAGACCATGGGAATAGACCGAGGATCTTCGCCAAGGTCTTTATCTGTCGACGTGCGCTATTTCTCTCCACGACCGAAATCTGCACCGAGATGCGTCCAGGGTTCGTCAGTGTACATAGCATCAACACGTTCTGCCTCACTCATGATAACAACCTGTGAAAGAGATCCGCCTTCAAAGGCGGATCGTGGTTGATGTGTACGCTCGATGTTGGCCGTCTGTTGACGGATGATTGGAACCGAAACCTTGGTTGGCAGGCATGGCTCACTCACTCTCGGGACGTACATCAAATACCAGGCTGTCTGCGCACCTTATTGATGAGTGACTTATGTCCACCCAATTTCCAGACCCAGCAGAATGGGCGGATCTGCGATTCGGTGTGATTCAACTGATCGAGTAGCGGGGCGGAAGTCCGCGATACTGGGACTGCCCTGGGCCAGGTGATTTGCATCCGAGGAGCCAAACATCCGGCGCCTTGCAGAAATTTGGTACGTATGTCAGTCGCCGTGCACAGCAGCTGAGCAAGGTTTTCAATAGAGCATCCTTCCAGCGTCGTGCCAAGCAGAGGTATTAACTTCAAGGTGCGCATTGCACTAGTCTGCACGGCCAAGACCTGCCCAGGACGTACGACACCAACGGAGCTCGAGTGCATAAGACCACATCGTAAAGCTCAGATATGAAGCTCTGGGTACGGGTCTACAACAATAGTTGGTTTCCTTCCGCATAAGTAGTAGGATCACCCTGGTGAACGGCCAGGGGTTGCCCCTCCCACCAAGGATTTCCCCCGCCTCTGATCACCGGTTCCCCGCAACAACTGAATAGCGACGGTTAGAGAGAGCGTCCGGGGTAATCGGCCGAATAGCCCCTGCCAAAGCTTTCACCCGCAAACTAACCGACGGACCAACTTTTTCCTGCAGGCTTGGTGGGTGTAAGTTGGAAGAGGTCCCGCCGCCGACAGTCATGAGTGCGGCGCGACCCCTCCCTGAACAATCCACTCCATGGACCAGGGGGGGCAGAAACAATACAGTCCCAAGGTAGGAGCCCGACCTGCCAGGCCTCGTTGTATCTTCTGGCTTCTTCGGGGTAATACTCGAGCGAGGCATGTCTCTTTCCTGCCCGCTTGAAGCGCTGGCAGGGGTTGCTCCTTGTAACAACCTTGTACCAAGCTCTATACCTTTGCTCCGGCCTTTTCAGATGCCTCCCCGGAGCGGTCGCCAGCCATGAGCAGGCCTGAGGATGTGCCTGTTCCTCTAAAAGAGTCCATGAGCTCGCAATCATGTTCATATGAGCTTCACGTATCGCGTTTACTAGGTCCCTCAGGCTCTCGCTATTACTCATATTCCATCCAAACCGGTAGAGACCAAATTTGGCATGGCTCTGGTAAGATTTGACGTGGCATTGCCCCGATATTCTGGCAGTCACTGAACCATGACTGTAGTCGACACTGGCGCAGAGCGCCCTCGGCGAGGTCTATGGCGCCTTTCAGACTCCTCCGATGCGGGCCCGACCCATGTTCCGCTGGTGGTGGCCTGACGGTCTGGTTGACCCTGAGGAAATAAGGGCAGAGGTGCTGCAGATGTACGACGCTGGTTTTGGAGGCGCCGAAATCAGCGATGTGCATCGCAGTCGCAACACGCCTATCGACCTTGAAAATTACGGCTGGGGCACCCAACCTTGGATCGACGGTCTCTACGCTGCCGTTTCCGAGGCCGATAAGGTCGGTTTCTACATCGACAATACTGTCGGCCCTACCTACCCCGCTGCCGTACCTGGTCTATCTCAAGACGACCCGGCAGCATCTCAGGAGGTTGTTCTTGGGCGAGCCGTTGTGACTGGTGGTGAGCGCTACAGCGGTCCTGTACCACCTCCTGACCATGCTCCGGAAGGCGATGTCACCAAGGAGACGCTGTTGGCGGTGCACGCCTACAAGGTTGCCGCTGGAAGCAGCCCGACTGCCAACCCTATCATTCTCGACCATACGAGCCTCATCAGCTTGTCTTGTTTCGCAGCTAATGGTACCGTCAACTTTACGCCGCCTGATGATGGGACCTGGATGATTCTTTCGTGGCACGAGCGTGGCTCAGGCATGAAGGCAAAGGGCGGCCCTCATAATCACGAAGACGGAGCGGTCATTGATCACTTTTCCTCCGCCGGAATTGGGGCTGTCACTAACTTCTGGGACGACAATCTTCTGACGCCTGAGATTAAAGACCTGCTATCCGATATCGGTGGCGCATACTTCGAGGACTCGATCGAACTTGAGTACAACACCATCTGGACCCCAGACCTGCGAGAAGAGTTCAAGACTTATCAGGGCTACGACCTTTTTCGCTACCTACCTGCCATCACCCAAGATGACCAAAAGAACGTGTTCCGGTTTGCGGACGCCGAGCTGAACCGTGGTGTCATCAATGACTTCTGGGATACTCTGGGTAAGATGTACGTTGACAATCACATTGATGGCATCAAGCCGTGGGCGAATGCCATGAACATGAAGTTCCGCGCCCAGGTCTATGGTGTTCCTACGGCCGCTACCACCGCAGCGGGCAAGATCGATATCCCCGAGGGCGAGTCGCTGGGCTTCAAAAACATGGGTGACTGGCGTGCTCTTGCTGGTGCGGCCAACTTCGCCAATCTCACGATGATCAGCAATGAAGCCGGCGCTCTACTGAACCAGCCTTACGCGACAACATGGGATCTCATGATCAAGATTATGAATCCTATCATGACGGCAGGCGTCAATCTCCAAATTTTCCACGGATTCTCCTACAAGGAAGCACCTGGTGCGAAGTGGCCTGGTTTTGCAGCCTTCACCCCTTACAGTGGCAACCGTGTGGGTTACTCAGAGTCTTGGGGCCCTCGCATTCCCATGTGGAAGCACACGCGCGACGTTGCCGATTACTTTGCTCGCACTCAGTCACTTCTCCAACGAGGTTCGCCCAAGCACGATGTCGCCTTCTACTCCCCTAAGGGCTACATCGCTGCCGGATTCAGCGGGCCATGGTACTCCCTGGATGGTGCGCGTCAGGGCTGGAGCATGAATCTTATCGGTCCCGGCCAGTTCGAAGAGCCAACGGCCTTCGTTGAGGATGGGCTCTTGCACCCCAACGGCCCCGGCTTTTCCGTGCTTGCGTTCGAGGGAGACTCGTTTGCCTCTCGCGCCCCTGTGATCGAGGTTGCCACCGCTGAGAAGATTCTTGACTTTGCCAAAAAGGGGTTGACGGTCGTTGCTGTTGGTAACTGGACCGCACCCCGCGCATTCGGATACAAAGAGTTTGACCAGAACGACAAGATCAAGGCTATCTTTGACGAGCTCCTGGCTCTACCCAACGTGTTCAACCCGGCAGACCGCCCCGACATCCCAGCCGCCATGGCAAAGGCCGGCGTCAAACCTCATGTGCAGTATGACAACCAACAGCTTCTGAACTATCATCGCGTGGATGGCGATTCCGATCACTTCTTCTTCACGGCTACACATACCGATATCTATGAGATTCGTGCCAATATCCGGGTCCAGCCTGTCGAGGCCGATGTCATCATCCCTCGCCAAAGCAGCAAGGGTGTACCCTTTTGGATGAACCTCTGGACTGGAGAAATTACTCCCGTTGCCAACTATGAAGAGGTTTCTGATACCCAGTTGAAGGTCCGCATTAGTCTCTCGGCCTACCAGTCAGCAATGTTGACTGTCGCGCCTTCTGACACGACCCCCATCTACGCAAGGCTTGCCGCCCCGGCGGGTGCCTCGCTCCGCCGCACTGAAGCCGGCCTGGTGCTTCGCTCCAACAATACGGGGACCTACGATGTTGCTCTCAGTACTGGGGAGTCCGTTTCTGCCCAAATTGACTCTGTAATCCCTGCCCAAGCCCTCAGCAACTGGACGCTCGACGTAGAGGACTGGCGCCCTACTGATGATGTCTTCTCCAGCGAGACCGTCAAGGTCAACCGCACTTTTTCGCTCGGCGATGGCCCTCTCGTCGCCTGGCCCGAGATCGAGGGACTCGAAGACTCGGTTGGCATAGGCCGCTACAGCAGCTCCTTCACCCTCGACTCCGAGTGGGACGCCGATGTGCATGGTGCCGTGCTGGCCATTCCCACCTTCATCGGCTCGCTGCGCATTTTTGTCAATGACGAATGGATTGGTCCTGTTGACCAGATGGGTGTCGAGTTTGACATTACTGCGTTCTTGGAACAGGGAAAGAACACTGTTGTCATTGAAATGGCGACCAACTTGATCAACAGGATCAGGACAGTGGACCCGGCTGTATACAGTAGCATGGGACGGCAGCAGCATGGCCTCGTGGGAACGATTGAGGTGAAGCCGTACGGCGTCCGAAAGTTAGCCGAGTAGACTCAAAAGCTACAGAAGAAAGCCGTCGAGAGAGATTGTATCGGTATAACATCGAGCTGTCTTATGCCACTTGCTGATGCTCTGCTCTACCTTTCCATATTTGACACAAGTCTCACCTCTCTGCACCTGCCCGTGAGCGTGCGCGCGACAAGTTTCTTACCTCAGGATGCAAACCCTCGCATGCAAACTTCGATTGCCACCTGCCTTTGCAGACTTGCGGGCGTCGAACTAGGAATCCTCAAATGGCTCTTAAGAAAGCAGGGGAATCAAGTTTGGCCTTGTCGCTCGAGTTGTGAGGAGACGGATGAGGATAGGGGAAGGGACGGTCAGAAAACGGATGACGGAACAAGGGGGCCCAGGAGGGCTCGAGCATGGCATGTGAGCGTATGGCGAGAGTCATGCAACATGAGTCCTTGTATGATCTTCCCCAAGGGGCCTGAACATCAAAGTTACATTGCCGCGAGGTTTGATGGCATTGGACGATCGGCCGCGATCGAACCATCGTGACGGGACAGGTATCTCATGTAGTGGGCGTTTGCTCCTTTTCAATTCCAAGGTCAGCGAAGACTTTGATTTTAGCACCATGGTATACAGGCACCGCTTTCTGCTGGGCATGTCTTAGCTTCATTGCCACACGTAGGACCGGATACACTATCGCCATTGATCGATTGCAACTTCAAGTCGAGTCGTTGCAGGCAACAAGGATGGTTCGACCGGCTCGGCCCATGTGATAGCCGGACGAGGTAACGTCACATGCCGTGCCAATAGATCATAAGGAATACCAGGGTGCCATC